TAGTGGTCCAGAAGCTAGGCGTTCACGCACAAGACCGAAGGTACTGGGTTCGAATCGTGCGAGGTGCAAGAGTCGTGAATGCGCACCGTTGATGAATCCCACACCAGGACAAAAAGGCCGTCAAATGCTTCCAGGTTTCTAATAGTGGTCTAACAATGACTGATTCATGATTTCACTGTGTAATATGCATATCGATTATACCGTTATTTCATTTCAGACCTTTAGGCATCCTGCTGTTAATTGACGCGATATCTTTGTATTTGACCAGACAAAGTAATAATTTAGTTTTACTCCCTGACTAGTGATGCTGGAGGTTAGTTGTGTTTGAGATTAAACTTTGAAATCCTTAGTGTGCAGCACCGGGAGTTGAAGATGCTAATGTATGGGGTCTCATAAGTTTGAAGAAGGGGAATAAAAAAGCGCAAAGGAAGATTCTAAATGAGTTCCACAGAAAAAATGAAGTGTTGGATAAAGCTGACGAAATTCAGGATGCTAGACAAGCCAGAAGAATAGCTTTCAGAGGCGTTAAACGACAGCTTAATCTCTGGAAAGGTCCAGTACACAAAAATCGGCTTGCTGAGCAAATAATATTTCCAATAAATGACAGAGAAATTGTTATGTCAGGTTCCCAAGAGGCTGCAAAAATGAAAGAGCAAGTTTATATTAGAGAAACCATAAAGGACTCGACAAATTTACAGGGGAAGTTATATACTGCTCTGTATGGAGATACGGACACAAGGTTAGCTCTTTCTCATTCTGTTAGTTCTTAGTACACCTAAGGGAGAAATTCCAGACAAGGCAGCAAAAATGGTTTCTAAGATGTTGCTGGAGAAGATTGCTATGCGTGACAGAGAACGTTTCTTACTTGCTCGAGCTGCCGCTCGCAACAAACGTCAAAACAAGATTAAGAGTAAACGATTTCATCGCCATTTAAAGGCACGTACAATGAAGGAATATGAGAAAGAAACCGAGTCTTTACGCCTCAATAATCCTCGAAAGTTTGCCGAACGACTTCTCAATGCTGAATTAAATAGAGTCAAAGAAAGAGCTAGTTTGAAACACAGAGGTGGTAGCAAATTCGCAAAATTACAGAAATTGAGGGCAAAGTATGACTCTGAGGTAACTATATGTTAATGCTACTTATAAATTAATAGGCTAGAGCAGCTGTAGCAGACATGCACGAGTTATCCCGGGAGACCACACGAAAGGCTGATCCTGACCTTCTGTCCGATACTGATGAATCTGACGTATCTATCTCCTCCGAATCTGAAGGAGAATCGGAAGAGTCTGATTTCAACTTAGACGATGATGTTGATGAAGAAGTACATGAAGTTCCTCAAACCCTTGGTTGGTGGAAAAAGGTAGTATGATCAGTTTTTCTTATGTACTGACTAATAAATGGATATTTTTATAAGACAATTTTACTAGTTGTCTCACTATGTTATGGTCGCTTCGCGTTGCTTGTACTACCTTGAAAATCTACAAATAACGTTGATAAAGTAGTGAAACTTCATCAGTCGAGGTGGTTGAGACATGTGTTACGTATGCCTAACCACCGACTGCCTCGTCGAACTGCTTTCCGATGTAAGAATAGGTTGGAAGAAACCTATGGGTGTCCAAACCAAAACGTGGCACAAATCCCTGAAGTCAGTGGCAACTGAATCAAGTCATGTTGGTAGGTGTCGACTACCTGGTTGGGACCCGCAAGATGATAGTAATCGATGATTAGAGACTAAATGACATGGCTCAAAATCGTTTGCAATGGTAAAGATGCACCCACTCTTTGTCCTCTCCCAAATTCTAATCTTCTGAATTCCTCATTACCTATATCTTTCTCTTCTCAATTTTGTTTCACTGAATTGTTTCACTGAATAATATTTTCGAAACCTGATCTCTCTGGTTACTGCTAATACTTCTACTACTAGGGGCTTTGAATTAACATTTGCGTCTCTGTGCTAATGTGGTATGGCCACCTGAACTGATGTACGAAGTTCTCCGATGTCACTCACTGACTGACGAATAACATTGTAGTATATGTTCTGTACCTATCTTCGTTGCTCTGTGGCCCATTAGTTAAGAGGTTCGACTTTCGACCACTGACCCCTAGGTTCGAACCCCGCCCCACTTAGTTTGATTAGTTAGTAAGCCCTCACAGTTGGGTTGTGGCTTGAAACCGAGTACCTGGTAAATCAGCTAATGCATGTGCACTTCAATTTATCCAGTGCTACAGGCCATTCCCAAAGCCTCATATTAGATATATTTCTCACTACTGTTATTAGTAATTCTGTTGTTCCCAAATTGTTAATTCGTTCGCTGTGTAATATAAACTGTGACAACTCGAACTAATGCATGTGTACCCGTTTCTACTTTTTATGACTGATTAGTGGTATGATGCTTATTTTACAAAATAATAGTGGATCACCCATCAACCAGTCCATGAGTTCTATGTTGTAGTGTAGTTGCATCATATGCAATGGCGCAGTTTTAATTTATGATGTACTTTCGGCATCTCTTTTAGTATGAAGGGATACAATATTTCTGTTTCAAAACATAATTCAAGTACGTATTCTACATCTTAAGTTTAGTTAATACGATGAAAGTCCTAAACTGATCTCTGTTCTATGAATAATCTAAAACCGAGATCACCTGACGGTAAAATTATTACAAAATGCCTATAAGCAAAAAGCAGCATATACATCCTTACAATTTTCTCATTTGGTTATGTTAACTTACAGTTTCCCATGAAGTGCAAAACTTTTGTATATACATAGATATTATATATATATATATATATATATATATATATATATATATATATATATACCGTAGGTCAGATTTTTATCGTATTTTACCTTTTTATAGTTTCTATGTAGGATGAAACCTAACTTACACCTCAGTCTGATCCCTCTATTCATTTTCGAGATTTTTATTGTTTATATTTGAAAATAGCCAATCATATTTCGCACAAGTGAATAATATATTATAGTTCGCTCTTAGATAATCGAGTCACTATATACTTTCTCAATTATTTTTCACTTCAGGGCTTAACCGAGAATAAGTCAAAGACTAAAGAGCAGACAACTAAAGGAGCTGTGCTTTCTACTCAGGCTGCTGAAGAAGTACTGGAGAAATATGAAGTCACTCAGTCAATCTTAAACGAACCTGCAGTGTCTAATACTAGTGTGACTGCAGAGCCAGATATAGTTGACCCTAATTCAGAGGGATTTTTCCACGCACTTCAAGAAAGCTTTGCAAATGATCCTGCATTACAACATAAATTTTCTGTAGAGAAATCTGAAACCGTAAAAGATGAAGCACCTCAAGATATTGATACGTTTTTGCCGGGATGGAATTCCTGGACAGGTCCAGGAACTGAAAAGTCTGATGAAAAAAAGCGGAAATCCAGGATTATACCTGCTCCTAAAGTAAAACGTGAAGATGACAAAAAATCTCATGTAATAATCAAGCGGCGTGTAAATCAAGAATTCAAGCAACATTTGGTATGTTACATGTATATATATATATATATATATATATATATATATATATATATATATATGTATATAGTATTTTCTTGGTATTTTGTAATTAACCTTTGGATTTTTTCACTTGAATCCTTGCTAGGTAAAAACTATTCCGTTCCCGTATAACACACCAGAACAATTCGAAGCGTTTATCCATCAGCCTATTTGTAGAGAATGGACAACAGAACTTACTCATCGTGAACTAACAAGGCCCAAAGTTACAGTTCAGTCAGGACATATTATCAGACCGATATCAAAGTCTGCAGCCTTACTACGTGATAAAGACATAGAACGCTTTGTTAAGCAAAACAAAACCTCGTAATATTCTGTACATAATCTTTACCATTTACCAATATCTACATTGTAATATATGGTATAAAATTATCTGTGGATTATTCATTCTAATTTGAAATCACCTAATTACAGAGAGGGGTTTCCACCCTAAAGGCGAGCTGCATGATTATGGTATTTAAATATCCAATAGCCGAGTCATATTAGAAGTAAGACAATCATCAGTTACAATGGATGGTCGCTGCATTTTACCGTACACTTATTACAGTTGGGAATATCGATCTTTGAATCTTGATTTAATGGTCAAGTAGTTAGTCACATGTGCAAGATATGAAGATCCTTGGTTCGATCTCTGACGAAATGTGAGTGGGATTCACTAATAGTCCATGCGAACAACAGCAGTGTTTGGAAGTGCACACAGGGATACCATCCCTGTGAGAAACATCTGGTCCGGAAGTGTAGATGATTGTAACATTTTCGAGCGTCGTCCGAATTTCGTCCATTTCATATCGATCATCTACGTTTAACTAGACGTCAAGAGATGGCTGTTTTCCACAGGAAAACACCTTTGTTTCAGAATTCCGATGAATGTCTGAGCAATGCGTAAACTGTATCAAACTGAACAAAACTAAGTAGACTGAAATAAATGAAGATTTATGGTTATCGATCCAAGTTTTTAACTATTAGAACGTTAAGAATTCATCTTTTAAGAAAAAAATAAATGCAAAACGAGGTGGGTGTTAGCTCCCTGGAAATTAAAATAATTACTCACCGATGTTATATCATTAAGTTTAGGTATACAGGATTCACCATACTATATTATCTTCCTCATTAGTTTGACCTAATGGGAGACACAGTGCAAACACAGCTTTGTATGAAATAAAATATACTGCGATACTATAATTTTTATTGCTGCTTCTTTTGGCAGAGAATACATTCAAAGAAATTCCCTACATTTTATTACACATATATGTCATAATTTCATTGCTTCAGCAAGTAAATAATGGTCTTTATATTGTGGATTTATTACCTACACTTAGGTTATTGTCTGATTAGATAATCACCCACTGGTTGTATTCACATCTGTTTTGAAAATATTTTGAAGTATTTTAACCATTTAATATTTTGTTGGAATTACAAAAGATAGCATTAACTTCGGATGCCTTACAGATCGCTATATTAACAAATTTACTCGTAATTACCCGACACATAACTTTCGTCTTCATGTATTTTAAATAGTTCTAATAATTTGTTCACAAATGTCATTTTTTTCCAAAAAAGGAATGATTATTTGCATTTTGATTGAACTACATTGAAATATTATTAGTAGTTCGTAAATTAAACTGCATTGTTCTTATGTATCAAAAAAAAATAGTTCAAAAATCTATTAACCTTTCATTTATAATTTAAGTATCTTGATGATAAAAGAAATTATTGTGTTATGAGTACATTACTTTATCAAATTTTCAATATTTAAAGTAATTAAAAATTGGGTTTTTTTTTCATTTACTGATACATTTTAAGTAGTATAAGATTAATGCAAACAAAGCATAGGAAATATGGAAATTATCTAGATGGTGCATAATATGACTTTTGAAGAAACTTGATAATTAGAAATAAAAAGTATAACGAATTCAGCAACATTGTTTCGAGGATAAAAACAAGCAATGAGAAATATTTGTTCATTTGATGATCAATGGTTTCAATAATTGTTTAAATGATACATTTGTATTTCATTTGACAGATTTTTTAACATTATCTTTAAATTGACTAATAACATTTCCTGGAGGATGATACAAACAAACTAAGATTAGTTTTGAATCTTTATGTAAGTCCCCTCCGGTTTTGTAGGACTGACTTGCAATGCCAACCCCAATACTTTTGGAACTTGACCATACAATTTGAGTAAAATTACCTGGAATTAAATAATTAAAATAATGGTTGACAATAAATGCCACTCAACACAAAAAAAACTACAACTTATTCGTAACTTAAATATGAATCAATCATACACACTTACCAATGATAAGAAATAACAATAAAGCTAATTATGTAGTGACAAAAGTATTTTATTCGAACATTAAAGTCGAAAGTTCATTGCTAAACAGAAGTCTGTTATTTAACCCATTGAATAAATTCTGGTGTCAATACAAAAATTCATCGAAGGGGACAAACACAAGCACTTTTTAATGATACATAAGTCAAATAATGTCGAGTAACGAAATTCTACTGCCATCTATTAATATTCTGACTTTGGAAAATTCTGGAACCATATGTAAGATGAAGTTAATAACGATTTCTGAAGACAGGGAGTGCCTGATCTAGCTAGTTCGGATGATAGCTCATCATTAGCCATAATTCCACCAATGTAGTGCAGTAAAAATCCTTCGGTATGTATATGCACTTGTTTAGTACACCTTTTTCAAGGACAGACATGTTCAATAGAATTCTTCACTAACTTCCAATCCAATGAAATCGTTTTGTTTGTTATATCTTACTAGTCAAACTGTAAAGAACCTATACTAAGTTAACTAATAATGCTAGCTTTCAGACAACATACTTAGAACAAAGTACATAAAACTTACTGAATAAAATCAACTAAGTGAATGAGCAAACTGAATAAGAAGTCGCTAGTTTAGTTACACTATTATAACAGAATCTAAAGTCATCAAGTTAGTACAACTTACCTATACCCTGAATACTATCCGGCTCAGAATCAAATTTATATTTTTCTGATTCTTGATACCAACGCTCAATTAGATCTTTACCTTGATAAAAAGGAAAAGAAGAAACATACTAATCACATCTGTCAACCATAGAAACTGAATTTCATTATTCAATTTGAAAACTTATATGATATACAATACAGTTTATTTATATCAAGTTATGCATCCATCTAATTGTGGTGTGTACTACTCACAACGCGGCTTATATATAGCATGCAGCAAAGTGTGACCCTGAAGTTACTGCCGAAGCGAACAAAGTCGGATCCGAATGTATGGCGCGATCAGTGTATTCTGAAGACGACGAGACTAGAAATAGATGTTTCAGGATAAAATGTACATATTTTGAAAGTAAACTATATCTTCAATAAATAAATCATTTACCGCATCTGGTCTTACCGTCTTTGTTCAATAAATTGTGATTTGGATAGTGTAACCATAAAACGGAGGTTAACAAAACTACGTACTATATTAGTATAATATGTTCTAAATAATCTGATCACATACAGACTAGATTCGAACACTTATATTTGAAGATTAAATGATCAGCCAGACAAATGAAGATAAGGATGAGAATATGAAATCCATCACGCAGGATAATAAATTCATATTATTATGGCAGGTTTAAGATCCTATATCTTCGTATAACTAAGGTTTCAATAAACTTTATTACACGCCTATGAACACTTTTGCACAAAACCAAAAAAGCTGAGTTAAGATACATTTTGCGAACTGGTTTAATTATTTTTAGCAATACAAAACAATGTATGTTTATCATTTGGTTTGATTTATTTCTATAGCCATTTTGATTCCTGTTCAGAGACCCGAACTTGTAAATTGAGATTATTATCACTATTATAACTAATCAGCGTTCATCCATTTTTCTTGTATCTCATCGATTGAATTAATTACCAACAAACTGGTTGAAATATATATATATATATAAATATATTTCATCGACAGCCATTTTGAACCCCTCATTTTACGTTGGGCTATTTTACGATCGACTGTTGTTGTTGTCACTTTGAATATAAGCCTAAGTTCAATTAATTATGATTTATCATAGAACCACACTTATAAGATTTATATGCAGTAGATATAAATATCTCCGAGTAAACAAGACAGTCTTCTGATTTAAATAGACCTCAGGTGCCTTGTTCAGGTGTATACAACTTATCGGACAGTTCACTCTGTTGTTGGATCAATCAACATAAATCATCCATATATACTTTTTTATTTTAATTTTAGGTTACATGAAAAATGTACACCAAAAGTGATATATTTGATAAATATTACTTCTTCAAAGTCACAGGCCAAACCCTTTTTATAGTGCTCATCTAAGTAGGATTTACGGTACCGGTAATAGTAATTATATTTCTTGTCAGTTCGTGTATTATTAGTACAAACCTAATGAAGCTCACTTACAATTAACTTCCATCGGTCCATTAGACCAGCGACTTCCCAGATTTTCACCTACTTTTATGCCACGATAAACATATCCACTATTGGACAAATGTGATTGTTGAAGTAAATGATCAGCCCATTGTTGTGCCATATCCGAAAGATTCTGCCGCAGAATAAGAAATTTATAAACATAGAGACTGTTTTATCGTTTACTGAATCACAATATGCAGTTATAATTAAGAAATGATTAAGGAAGATATGAAGGACTAAAATTACCTTTATTCTCTACAGTTCTCGTTACTCACCACCCACCAGCACTGATAAGTATAGAATGAAAGACTTCCCATATAGGACAGAGCGTAAGCAAATACTACCAGATTTGATTCTAGTCTCTCTCTCTCTCTGATAAAATGTTGGAAGAATTAACTACATGGCCTTAATGATTAATGGATTCGCAACCAACACTTGCTAAACCACAATCAACCAGTTAAATCACTGCTTCTGTAATTTAATTTTCGAGACAAAAGCAGTTTTAAATCTAAGATAGTATGTTTAAATTGAGTCTAAAATATGTAGGGAGCTGTTTATAATGGCTTCATTTATCTAAAGACAAAATGTATCATAAGAACCACACACACCTGCAAGTGATGAGGTTACCTTCATGATGTTACCATAGGATGAAGACAATTCATCAATAATAGGATCAATGACAGACAACTGGAGGTTATTCTCACAGTGGCAAAGGCAAGACAAATGGAAATAAAATTCTCTACATTGAAGGGTCTAACAACCAAGTATTTTTGTCTAAGTTAAATTGTGAAGGTGCTTACGAAAATTCAGAATGATCTCGTTTCTTACAATTCCATTAACATCCAAATGACTTCCAAAGCATATAAATTTTCGAAGTACTTCTATTACTCCATCACCAAATCCTAAAATACTCACCTTAAAACTTAGTAAAGTGAAGAAAACTGAATATCTTGCTTAGAGATTGGTATTTATCATTTAACTTTATGAGATTGAGCTAGTCTTTAATGCTACCATACAGGCAGACTAGACAAACTGTATAACGCAGCTTATAATGCCTTTTGGACGTAGATTTATATACATGTTATCATGTGCGGTATCCGAAATCTGATTGCGATACGTGCTAATCCCTCAAACTGGCCACCTAAGCGAGAAATCAAGGGCAGAAGAAAAAGTCTATTTGCCTACCTAATAATATGTGCAAATGCTCGTTCAGATATATATTCCACCTCCTTAAAAATTGAAGCCAATTCCTCCTTTAAGACATTTTCTGATGGTCATCATAAGGCCTTTTCATTTGATTACTTCTGATTAGCTCACTGACCCATTCAGCAAAGTACAACTGTAACACATTTGAAAACGTATTTGTAGAAAAAATCTTGCTCAGTATAATGTACGCTGAAATTAATCCACAAGAAAGGAGCTGCATATTTTCTAATGTTTAACTGCAGTTTTTTTTTTAACTCAATACAGCTGGAATTCACAACATGCATCTAGTCGATTTGTAGTTTGCTAATTTTAAATCAGCTTATATGCAAACTTATTAACTTAGGATAATCAAATCCTGCAGCGTGACATAAATACCTAACAACAATAATGGATAATTATCGTGCAATATTGTGAATTGACTGAACTTTAAAAACATGAACCAGTTGATTCTAGTTCAATGATTAAAAGCTTGCATACAAGTAGCAAGAAATAACAGGATTGCAAGTATTTTAATTGTATATAATTACCCCTTGTAAAAATCACAATGGAATATTAAATGTCACACAGTAATCAGGTAGTAACAAAAAAAAACAGAAAATGAGGATTATATTAATCTACCTGATCAATTACAAGTGGACTGGAACCATGCTGACTACGATAATCATTATGAAGTTGAACGACCGAGCGAATGGATTCTTGGAGTTGATTACCATCCTGTATAGAATGAGTAGTGAGTTAGTACAAAACAATAATGATAAAATCCTTCGAACACAAGTTTACATAATTTTTATGCAAGCAAACCAGGTCAAACAGATTAACAAAAAAGTCTTTAGAATAATAAATGGTAGAGTATTAGAATAATTAGTTTATGGACTCTTTACAAAAATTGATAACAGTGACTAAAAATTAATTTATTCACACATATGAGTAGCCTATAAAACACTAATAAACTGCCATTATTACTAATATTATTGGATCATTCTTTTTCCACAGAAAAATGCTTGACACGAATCAGCAACCAGATGAGATAATATTATGAGTAAACGAAAGTGAAAAAATTCATGCAATCAACCAATAAATAAAAAGGCATATTATTTATGAAAGCATACAGTCGGAGTGAGACCACAATCAAGACAGATTGCACTTAACTAAAAGAGGCAATTTACCAATTATAATGAATTCGTCACAGAAGCAAGGAAAGATCTTTGGTGGACTAGATCAAACGTCATTCTAGATAACATCTCAATTTACTAAATTGCACAAAGAATTAGAATTTTACAGAAAGTTGAGATTGAAGCAGAGGAGCGTACACTTGTTTTTCGTCACTAGACTAGTATTCCTACTGGTAAGAGAGCTACACGTATGTTTACGAAACTGATAAGACGAAAAGCAAGTGTCCGGATACGGAAGATCCACCTGAGAGTTGGGAAACACTCATCTCAAACCCATGGTGCACGAGAGTTTCGGGATAATGAAGGGACGAAAGGTCTATTATTGGTCACAAGCTACCATGACACTCCATCTGCTGACGTTGACCCTCTGCACTGTGGATTAGACCCATAGATCAAAGGCTCACGGAGTGGTCCCCTAGGACAACTACCGGTTTGGTCTGAGCACTCAGATAGTATTCCAGCCCACATACAGATTCAATAATTAGTGCGGTATCCGTTTGTATCACTGTCGATATGTTTAAGCAGATAAACAACCATTAGCAATAAAATAATGATAATTTTACAAAGATTTGAAGATTAAATTAGCTGTTCAGCAACTTTAACGAAGTATTTGTCAAACACTAATTACCAAAGCTGCTTACTGATCATCTATTTTGTCATAAAGTTTGGTGAAAATAAACGTTCGAAAGCCTTCACATATTGCGACGACAATCGTTTTCTGATAAATCGACCATAGATTCTGTTTCGAATCAGCACTCAATCACAATTCACTGATATACAACAATTATGTATTTTCACCATGGATCGACTCTAGCCAAGGGACTATTAAAAACCTATACAGAACTTAATAGATGCTTCATTCTGTTTCGATATTCATCCAATATCCCAAAAGAACTATTGGTCAATTCTTATTGGTTAATTTCTACTGGTCAATTTTACGATCGTCCTAGATATCAATGTCACGTGCTCCAATGTTGTTTCTTATTTGTCGTCTTAACTGTCAAAGTCACAGACTCCGATGATGTTTCCTATTCAACCTAAATGTATAAATACGCATTATCTGTAACGTTCTGTGACCAGAAACCGGTCCCGGATCCCTAGTCCGGGATCCTGATTCTCTTCTGAACTCGGACCTCGTACTTTCTGGATGCTTGTAGAATACAGGTTCTACTTCATATCAAGTCTTCTTCTTTTATTCAATGAGGGTTGGGATAATCGGATTGAGTAGCATGTCGTGTCACCGAATCCTCGCTCTCGTTTTCCGACTAAGGCAAACTCGCAATAGTTCAAGTATATCAAGTTGACGTGTTTACGTGTAGGCGTAGCATATTCTATTTCTGGACTACTCAGCAGGACAAATCTATAACTTTGTGCTATATCAGGAAGAATATAGAAATGGTAACTACCAAGACTCAAGATCTCCAAGTCTCAAGACAAATGCACTACTTCAAAATCACTGGTTTGGAATTCAGTAGTTCACATTGTCAACGATACAATCTTCAAAAAGTAGCAAATAACGCTGGCAAAATTATAGCAACAATATGAAAAATAAGAAGATAAATATCTGTTTCTATAAAAAAAACCCATCGTAGATACTATTAACCCAACTGTAGTAAAAATGAAGGATCAGAAAATGTTTTTTAAACTCACAAGTGAATGGTCACCTGGTGATAAATTGGATTTTGCGTTTCTTTCCTCTTTACAAGCATCTGTGTAGACTTCATTGATACATCGCCTAGTCTACATTTAAAGAAAATATCTGTTTAACGCTTGTTTCAACGCAAAAGTTATAAAAGTTACTATGAATCATTTCTATGAAGTTAATCATAACGTGTAATTAGAAAAAAAAAATAAAATGAAAGATACATTAAATAAATCCCACATAAATTTAAAAGAAACGTAACGTAGGAGAATTAACGATGCGAAATCGCTTAACAAGTATATTAACATTGAAACAGAAGTGTAACAATCATGACAAACATTATGTTTGAAAAAAAATCAATCAACCGACCGTAGTTTACGCAATATTTTCATTATCTACTTATTAGTGTCAATCTGTAAGTTTATTTCCCGACCGTAGCTGCTACCTTGACGTGATGGTCGGGCTTGACTATCGTGATGACCCAACCAAGATATACTGGCTAGAAAATATGTTCCTGAAGGTTCTACCATACCAGGCAGGTCGATTGGAGAACGATCAGAATAAAAGCAGCTACACAAGGTCTGAGGGCGAAGTCGTACTGCTGACTGCGGAGGGTTGTGACAGCAGTAAGGTGTTTCCCTCGGACAACCAGCATCTGCAGCGATGCTGCCTTCTCACAAGGAACGAAGGGTTAGAGAAGGTCGACCCTAAAAATGTCACACCTCACCCTACCTCACGGATTTCCGTCACCGGCAGTAAGGGTGCCCACTAAAGGCCTTTAAGAGCGGAGCTAATGCTCAAAAATCCTTTCATAAAAAGACCGTGCGGGACCAGCCTCAAGCAGTTGTCCCTTGGGCTCTGCGGTCACGCACCACGGTCTCTAAGACCAACGCCAATCTATCTTCGTTTTCAGGTCCCTCCAGAAACAACCTTCCACGGTGTGGGCAGCCGGGAAGTGACAACCGCCCTCATACCCGTACCCGTAAGTTTACTTACGCATAAGGAGTTAGTCATATTGACTACACAAAAAGATTTATTTCAACGTATAACTCGGAAAATCATCTTGGCTGGCCATCTAGAAAAATACAATGTTAGACAAAAGCTTAATCATAGAACTAGTTAATTCTGATTACTCTACATCTCTAAAATCCTCCTTCACACTTATTTACAAAGTTAGAAAAATCAGTTATAAAAGAATAAAACTAAAAAACTTATTTACAATACACGCTTTATCTATCAACCAATCTAAACCTAACCTCGGTATACAAAAGCAGTGCGTTCGATCTCTTATTCTACCACGATCTTAGACCTACTTTATATCTCCTATAATTTACTGCTTTTTTCTGCTATATATTTTCCACCACTACTAATCAACCATTATTACAACTTTTAATTATTCCACTCTAAACAGTTATTAAGTAAACTATTGTCTTTACCTCAATAACTTTGATTAGCCGTTAAAGGAATATTACATAACTTTCTTTTAATAACTGATATTTGTAAACAATTTATGACACGTACCATTTTATTTTTGTATTCAACATCATTCTATTATACCATAGACTACTAATTATAGCAAATAAACTCATTATTAGTACAATTTTACAGCGTTCGAAAATGAAATCGTTGGAATTATTTTTATTATTCATCGATGACACAATAAGTCTTTTTGGTTATAAGTAAATTATGTGAACAGCATAAATGTACAGTGATATAAGTTCTAACACCTTAAAACAAGACGTTAAGAGTTTAGTAAGCATAGAATTTGGAATGATAACACATTTGACAATGCAGAACCGTTAGTAAAAGCAGTAAACTGGTTGATTGGGGGGGGGGGATTTCACCCTCTTGATTAAGAAATAGCCAGTTATTTTACGCAAGAAGATACAGCTTACGGTCTCATACGCACATGTTTTGAGAGTCATACCGAGATTATCAAACTCCCCTTTCCAGATTCTCCTGAGAAATATGTTTTCAACTATTCTAGCACATATTTATGCACGTTACAAGTACAAGCACTGTCAGTCGGTCCTAAAGCCTGTGATAATTCTACAAAAATTGGTGAACTCCACACAAAAACAAAATTCGAAAATCTGTGACTGAGAATAGTGCACGAGTTTAACAACTATCACCATTCAATTATGATCACAATAAAAGCAGATTTGCATTCTCAAGTCCATTCTCTTGGTGTTTTACTAAAACGAAGACCAGGTGGGTCTCTTCAACAATCGAAGTACAAAAAATCAACCGGGAACGGTCACAACCCCCCATGTAAATCATCTTTCAAAATCCTCTATGGAGTGAGACGAACAGTCTCAGAGAAGGTTTGGATAAGGAATTTGTGCAGAGCTGAGGTTATAACAATTTATCATTTCAAACCCGACCACTGTGTACAGAAGACTTTGCTATGGTCTTAGCATCTCTTTGGATTGTATAAATTATCAGTGATAATTATTACCTTAGTCTTCTTTTTCTTTACAAAGTATACAACTTTCCTTAGTCTTATTATTTTTCAGATTTTTACTTTTTATTGCTTTTGAGACTATTTATTACATAATGCAGGCTGTTGATGATTTTTGATTACTTTGCTAAATATAACCTCTTTTTCTTCAATACTTGAAAAATTAATCATATTGAACCAATAATGATTGGTAGATCATTATTACTACACTCAAAAACTTCTGATAATCTTGACCATATTATGCAAAACCACTTCATTTTCATCATCTTCCACTTGAATAAGTTATGCCATGTAAACGCAACAATCACTTGTTGTTTCAATCCTAATTTTTGTATACGAAAAAGGAAGTTCCATCAGCACTCGGTTATGGAATTCATGGAGCAAAAATAAAAATGAGATATAGAAGTATTCAAAAACATAAATAACAGTGCATGATACCTTTCCTTTGTCATCAGTCAATTCAGAGATCTCTCGTCGAACATTATACCGTTTTCCATCACTTTCAGTTAGTGTTTCAGTAATAACTGTTTTTGGAGTATCTAAGGAAGGGAAATACAGTGATCTGATGAAGACAAAAGTACTGAACTTCCAAAAGATATCCATGGAACTAAAACAGACTCATTAAAATTATCAAAACAAACACAACTAAGCATACTGCATCACTTAGTCGTCGTTAATGTAAAACATCGTGGGAATTTCTTTCAGCATTTCATACCAACGATATGACAAAAAATAAGAGTAATTAGATGAAACTCTAATCAAAATCTAAATGAGAGAGATACGGTTTAAGACTAAGAGATGACATCGAAGGAAGAAAAGCTAAGGACGAAATGATTTAAAATATAGAAAAAAGCACGTAGTGATAACAACCATCCACAGTTAAAGATTTTAACATATCATTCACCGTTTTCAATGATCGGTTGCAAGAATTGCGTTGCCCCAAACCAAGAAACATACTTCGAGAAATATGACTTGAAATAATAAACGATGACTTCGCGAATTTACTTGTCTTGATAAACCCCGTCTCCAGCTTTCGTCTTAACTATTTTTATGCTACTGTGAAATGCACATTTGAGTAGACGGTGGTTGCACACGAGTAAAATACATTTCAATTGCCTTGGTCGCTGAGAGTTTGCATCTGCATCAGTAAACGAGCCATTTCTACTTATTAATTGTACCATTAATCACCTGGTAGCCACACCATATGCGACCAGTACTGAGAACATACCGATAGTCAAATATTTGCACACAACACACGGGCTACTCGAATAAGCAAGCAACCAGTTTTAATCCAGTATGATAAGAACCACAAGTAGCATCTCTTAGTTTTAAGGAATAATGGAGTAACTTATGTTAAGACATCCTGATCGTAGCTGTTACCTTGACGTGGTGGTCGGGATTGTCTATCGTGATAACCCAACCAAGCTATATTGGCTGGAACATATGTTCCTGAAGGTTCTACCATGCCAGGCAGGTCGATTGGAGAACGATCAGAATAAAAGCAGCTACTCAAGGTCTGAGGGCGAAGTCGTACTGCTGACTGCGGAGGGGTGTGACAGCAGTAAGGTGTTTCCCTCGGACAACCAGCATCTGCAGCGATGCTGCCTTCTCACAAGGAAGGAAGGGTTAGATAAGGTCGACCCTAAAAATGTCACACCTCACCCTACCTCAAGGATTTCCATCTCCGTCGGTAAGGGTGCCCACTAAGGGCCTTTAAGAGCGGAGCTAATCCTCTAAATACCTTTCATAAAAAGGCCGTGCGTGACCGGCCTCAAGCAGTTGTCCCTTGGGCTCTGCGGTCACGCTTCCAGGTCTCTAAGACCAACGCCAATCTATCTTCCTTTTCAGGTCCCTCAAGAAACAACCTTCCACGGTGTGAGCAGACGAGAAGTGACAACCGCCCTCATACCCGTAACAACACAAGAGACCAAATTGGTCAAAATCAAATCCTTCCTACACCCACACATACCTCTCTTCTCTCCACAACTAACTCTACTCATATTCCCTTATCTCACTGCACCGCTAATGCAAACGATATGAGTTCACGAAACGTCATTCCTGGTCTCTTGAAACCCCGTTCTAGACTACATGTTGGAGCTTTTAATGTACGGACATTGTGTCAAATAGGGCAACAGGCTTCCTTAGCTAAAACTTTAGAATCTCGCTCAATCGATGTATGCTGTGTCTCGAAAACGCGCATACATGTTTAGATTCAGATCATGCTCTAGTGCGAGCGCGTATCTGTTTGAGGCTTACTGGACGTAGGAAAGACACCGTAAGGAAGCCTCTTAGGGTTTTACTTAATGACAATAAAGCTAGGAATATATTTCAGATGCAACTAGAAACCGAGTTAAGCAACCATGTAAGCGATTCCCATCCGGAAGCAGGTTGGTATGATATCAAATAGGCTGTGGAAACAGCAGTGATATCTGCCAGTAAGGTAAACCATAAGGCTAGGATAAAGCCGTGGATCTCATTAGCATCGACCGAACTGATGGATGCTCGAAAACTCATCCCGCCTGGCTCTGAGTGCGGTGAGGGGCGGAGTCAGCTTAGACGTAGGCTGAAAAAAAGCCTACGCAATGATCGAGAACAGTGGTGGGTGGAGAAAGCGAGAGAGATGGAAAAGGCAGCGGCGATAGGCAACAGCAGACAATTATTTAGACTCATCAAGGAAACTGGTATTAAGAACACAAGTGTGAGTGAGACTATTTCGGAAAAGGATAGTCTTATTATCCATTCTCAATCCAGGAGACTGGATCGATGGGCAGAACACTTTAGGGATCAGTTCAACTGGCCTCGAGCCACTCTTCGGTTACCCACGATCTCCAGTCATCCTGAATGGCAAATCGACGTAAGTCCCCCTAGGCTTTACGAAGTTGAGAAAGCGTTAGGAAATCTGAAGCGAGGGCGAACTGCAGGTCCTGATAGACTGACCCCTGAGATATTTAAGGATGGTGGTCCAGTTTTAGCAGCTAGGTTTACTGAGATCTTAGGTAGAATCTGGGAACTGGACGCAATTCCATCCGACTTGTCTCAATCACTGATTGTCCCAATTTCTAAGAAAGGAGAAAAGTCCTCTTGTGACAATCACAGGGGAGTCAGTCTAACTAATATAGTATCTAAACTATTGGCCGCAGTAACACTCCGACGCTTAACGAAAGCTCGTGAAGAGCAAACTCGAGAAAACCAGGCTGGTTTTCGACCTGGGCGTGGCCGCATTGACCACATCTTCACACTACGACAGGTCCTAGAACACAGAGACACATTTAGGCGTCCGACAATAGTTGTCTTCCTGGACCTAAAAGCGGCATTTGACTCAGTGGATCGTGAGGTTCTGTGGCAGTGTCTGTCATTGAAAGGTGTACCAAAGAAGTACATTAACCTCATACACGCTCTCTACTCGAACACCACTGGTCGAGTGAGAGCTTATGGCGAACTGTCACCGCAATTCTTCGCCTCAAGTGGTGTCCGTTAGGGATGTTCACTTTCTCCATTCTTGTTTAATTTTATCATAGACAAGCACCTAGAAATAACCTTATCCTAGTCTGAATTTTCTGGAGTAGACCTTCTACCAGGTGGCTCGCTTATTGACTTAGAATATGCCGATGACATAGTCCTACTTGGTGAAGACGCTGACAAAGCGCAGTCTTCGGACTACCCTAAGCAACAATGCAAGCATGTTCGGGATGCGGTTTTCACCCTCGAAATGCAAAATGTTGCTTCAAGATTGGGTTGCATCGGCACCTGAACTAGTGATAGGGAGTGAAGTAGTCGAGCGAGTAGACCGCTTCACTTATCTTGGGAGTCTCATTAGTTCCGATGGCCTGGTGACTGACGAAATCTCAGCGCGGATACAGAATGCTCGATTGGCTTTTGCCGACCTGCGTCACTTATAGTGTAGGCGAGATATCCATTTTCTGACTAAAGGACGAGCGTACTGCGCAGCAGTTCGCTCCATTCTCCTATATGGCTGTGAAACATGGCCGTTAAGAGTAGAAGATGTTCGTAGGTTACAAGTATTCAATCATAGATGTTTAAGAAGCATTGCTCGTATACCGTGAGACAACCGAGTGAGCAACGCTGTTATTAGGAAACGGGTGCTAGGTAAGAATGGAAGATCAATAGATGAAGTAATGAAACTTCATCAGTTGAGGTGGTTGGGACATGTGCTGCGTATGCCTAACCACCGACTGCCTCGACGAGCTTTGTTTTGTAGTGTAGGAATAGGTTGGAAGAAAGTTAGGGGCGGCCAAACCAAAACATGGCAGAAATCCATGAAGTCATTGACGAGTGGACTTAGCCATGTCGGTAGATGTCGACTACCTGGTTGGGGTCCGCGAGATGATAATAATCGATGGTTAGAGACCCTGAATGACATGGCTCAAAATCGTTCGCAATGGCGCCGGTGCATTTATTCTCTGTGTTCTCTCGAATGCTAATCTTCTGGATTCTTCAACCCCTCTAGTTTCGACTCTCTAAACTTTTCTCACTGAATCATACTTCTTGAATAGTATCTTCTAATCCTAACCTCTCTGATTACTTCTAATTCCCTTACTACCTCTTCTACTATTGGATTTGAATTGACGATTACTTCTCTGTGCTGATGTGGTATGGCAACATGAACTGATGTACTTATGTAGAAAGTTCAACGTTGCATCTGACTGACTGACTGACTGATGATAAGACATTGAAGTCGTCCATTTATTCACAAAATGTGTGCCTGTAACTTTGCGGAAACTAAGTCTGCATTAATGACAACGAATCTTTTCTTTTTAAGTTATTGATACCTGTCGGATGAGTGTTTGGAAGCTTAAAAAGCCAATTCAAGATTTTACGTTGAAATGAAAAAATACAGAAAGTATACTAACCATTATTCAAAGAGAACGTATCATACGTTGGCTGATTAGTGTTCTTCTCTAATGATTCATTTGGACGAAAGACATTCGATAGGTAATGACCTAGTACATTTCCTGGAGGACGATAGTGCGCTACAACGACACACTTTCCAGGACCACAGGCTTTACCGAAGCCAACTTCACGAGTTGAACTCCATACCAGTTGTGTAAAGTTACCTATAATGTAGGAAATACTTGACTATTAGGATAGAAGAAAAGAATGATGTGGAAATTTTAAGTATGAAAATAAATTTGGAGTTAAAGTAACTATTTACAAAGTTACGGCACATGACTAACCTGCAGGTCCTTTACCGTTTTCATAATTATAGTTTTTTACATCTGAATACCATTGATTTACGACTTCCTCACCTAAATAATATATGGGTGAAATAAAGATGATAACCTTGCATATCTACATTAGTTCCTGTGCTTGTACGCACACTGATACTTTCCCCGACTTCACCTCGACTTGAATGTGGACTGTTTTTTATTCCATCTTCAGACAGTAGTTCTTCAGCCCAATCTTGAGCCGTCTTATCTAACGCGCGACTATGCCGTAAAGCACAAACACCATGAAGAAGTCTTTTTGCATTATGTGCTTCCAAACAATTTTTGATGAAATCATCTGGAGGAATCATCTACAGTAAAACACCAGGATAAGTTTACATCTATAAAAAGCGTATGGAAGATTATTCACATCACATATCTTTCGCTTTGCTTATATTTCTGAGAAAATTTACATTAAGAGTAATATTTTAACAAGAGGAATTAGGAAATCGTCGAACTTACCAACATACGCCTGTTACCACCAATAGAGCAAAGGCCCTCGACCAGTGTTCTCTAGACTACTCTATCCTGGGCTTCCCTTTCCATTTCCGTCCAATTTTCGTTCATTTTACTCATATCTTTCTCTATTTCTCGGCGTAATTAGTTTCTTGGCCTTCCTTTTTTCCTTTGACCTTGAGGGTTCCAGGTGAAGGCTTGTCTTATGACGCAGTTCGGTGCTTTCCGCAGTGTGTCCGATCCAATTCCATCGCTTCTCCCTGATTTGCCCCTCTGCTGGAATCTGATTCGTTCTCTCCCACAGTAGATTGTCTGGCCAACACATCCTCAGTACTTTGCGTAGACAATTGTTCAGTGGTTCTCCAAGTTTCCGCTTCATATAGAAGAACTGTCTTGACGTTTGTATGGAAAATCCTAATTTTGGTGTTGATTGATATTTGTTTGGAGTTCCAGATATTTTTCAATTGTAGAAATGCAGCCCCTGCTTTGCCGATCTGCGCCTTCATGTCTGCATCGGATTCATCTTGATTGTCGATGTTGCTGTCCAGATATGTAAAAGTGTTAACGTCCTCCAAGGCATCTCCATTAAGAGTGATTTGGTTGGTGCATGTTGTGTTGTATCGGAGAATCTTGCTTTTCCCTTTGTGCATGTTGAGACCTGCTGCTGCTACACTGGTTGTCTTCTCTTGCATTTGTTGTTGCGTGTGTGATAGAAGAGCCAGATCATCTGCAAAGTCCAGATTGTTCAGCTGCACCCTAACTGTCCAATGTATCATCTGCTTCGCCACAGATGTTGACGTCTCCATAATTCAGTCGATCACCAGGACAAAGAGAAAGGGTGAGAGTAAGCGGAATTGCCTGACACCGGTCTTCATCTCAAACGAGTTTTTCAGCTGACCTCCGTGCACGATTTTGCAGTTTAATCCATCATATCAATCAGCATGTTGTTTACCAATAACTTGACGCACATTTAGTACATAAAAATAAAGATAACAGAATATTAGTACTATGTGAATAAATCCAGAACATAATGTCGGACATTATTTCAGTGACGATCTAAAAAATACTCCACAGGATTCAAGACAAAATGAAGCTTTAAAGTACAACACGGTTACTTTTACACAATTTGGGGTCTGGATAAAGACTATCAAGATGCGAATCATCATCGTGATCAGTGCATAATATTTACGAGAATGAGAAAACTGATTGAAGAATACCGAGCAGGTAAGGATATACAACTGAAATTAATCGTTGCTAAATCGATTTCTCCAGAAAGGATTATATTTTAGAACATAATTTTACGCCTGATTATACTACTTAGTTATACTGTGTTTTCAAAAAGATATGATGGTAACAATAGATTTTCATTGTTTTAACCATTCTTCAAAACGGATAGCCTTCATTTATGCAGTAAGAAAGGTATTCTCTTACGTAAGAATGAAGCAAAACGACAACAAAATCGCCCGGAAATCCAAAGCGTTTATAAATTACTTTGGCCTATGACCTTGAGACTTGAAGTATCCAAAGCAGAAGTCATCGAATACACAAGCCACGAGCTAGAGTCAAATCAATTGGTTTTTTTGAGCCCCATTATTGTTGTTTCGACACAGTTTCAGTGGTCCGGTAATGTCTGCAATATTTCTTTTAACGGGTTTGAATATCTTGCAATTTGCGTGATTTTATTTGCATTAGGGGAGTAAGGTTAAAGGATACCAACCACTGCCTCATTATCAGGCAGGAGATTGGTTGGTTGCAAAGTAAAAAATAATGGAAAGAAAATTTTGATGCTAGGAGATAATTGTTTTAAAAGAAAATAGGTAAATAAATAAGTTAATTAATTGGTAGTGCAGACAGAGTGATAAGACTGGAGTTTGAGATTAAAAGGGTGGACGAAAATTATAATAAATGAAACAGGGATACGCCGATGTCATGCGACAAGTCACAAAGCATGCACATGCCCATCTGGTTCAAGTAGCTGATAGTAATCCAAAAATGAGTGTATGTTTGCTAAGTATCCTTCTAAGTTCATCCTCTGAGAGCAATGTTATCACTTAGGGTGGGATAACACTCCAAATCTAAATTGGAAGAGGTGAGATAGTACCTGAGTTTTTCTTCCCTATTTGGTGTATTTTTTTTCTATGTTACCTTAAAGAGCGTTGCGGTGAACTTCTGTTTGGGTGTACGTGTTGGAAACACTTGATATACCGTATGACGCAGCTAGATAACCTCTTTTTCTTCTATAACTCAGAAGGAGTAACCTCAGGTTTTGGAGCTTCTTTTCGCGATACTGATTCTTTAGCACTGTTACCCACTAAGTTTCTCAACTCTGCATATATCTCTTATGTCTGTTTGAAAGAACAAGGGTACGAAAACATTGTTTAGCCGTGTGCACGTTCAAAAAAAGACAGGAGTTATCCCGAAATGATTGCTCAGGTATGTACTCATATAAGTGAAATTGATACGTTCGCAAAACTTATGTGGTTCCAGCTCTCTGAGGTTAAAAGCGTTAAATTGCGATCTGAAGAGACAACTAGGAGCAACTTTCTGTGTAAGATGTCAGTTATTTATGCCAATTTGGTAGAATGTTTATGACAAAACGTTTCAACCGATCATCTCCTGCTCATTCCATCTCTACCGTAAATTCCCTGTAAATACCGAACAAATCTCATCTCTCTCTATGAACCTCTCCTAATACGGACTTCAATGACTTTATATCATCGTCACAGATAAATGCATTTGAGCTCCTGCGTTAAAGTGGTCAATAATGAACGTCCAGTGCAGGAGTGTACATAAGGTGGCCTCCCGTAAAACTCCTGATTTTAGAACCCACCAAATCGCATCTATTCCATTTATCTTGGTACGAAATGTCCTGTTTTCTAGCTTAGAAAAAAGTGGTTCAGCGAAACTCAAGTTCGCAACCTTCGTCATGGAGTATACGTCAATTACTGTGTACGAGACCTTTGCGAAGTCAATGAATGCTGCTTGAACCAAAAGATTTTCCAGGTGCCCATGGAATGGGAACACACGGGACCTACCTTTCATAAATCAGTATTAGGCTTCTTGGAAAATGTTGGCACTCTTCATTTATTTCCCCATTTTTTCGCTGACTACCCATTCAAATGCTCTCCAAAGTATTGATAATAATGCTACTGGTCTACTGAAGATTATTTCTATCCTATATACTCCTCTCAAGATTAGTGAGAAGGGAGACTTTTCTCCATCCTCTTGGGTATTAATGTGAGTGCCATTGAGTGTCTGGAAAATTCAAATACCAATAAAATAATTGCCTATCTGTTCTGGTTACGGATAATAGAGCGAAAGCCTTCATATACCGGTGACATTACTTGATACACATGTTTTAGTTTCTTACTGCTAATCCGGAAGTTTTTTGGAAACAGTCTACGTCTTCAACCGGTATCACAGGTAAGTAGTGTCCCGCGACTGTAGACTCTTGTTTCATTTTGTCGTTGAAGTCGTCATTCGAACATTCTGTAGCATGGATATCCTAATTTGTAGGTTTCCTTTTAGTCATGAATCTATCGATATATTTGTCATCAACTTGTATTTTTCTCCCAGCTTCGTCCAGAAAAACCTCGTGTCATTCTGACATTTGTCTTTGAATTTGTTTCTTAACACCAAGTAATCGCTACTATCTGAATCCCTCAGGGAGCTTACCATGGATGCTCAAGGTATTCACCTTCCTCGAAAAAGGTGGCGACGATTTTAGGTTACCCAAAACCAACCACGGTCAAACAACTGCACACGTTTTATAAATTAATTAGTCCTTAGCAGTGATCAAAATAAGCCATGCTAGAACATCTCAGACAACACATTAGTATCGTCATTGACGCAAGCGGTTCGACAATCAGCGGAGTCCTCTGCACAGCAGAACCTTGAATACAATATCACAACACAGCGCTGCAGATACGTAACTAGAAGAGGCGACCAACCCACATAATACTTTGTAATTTAGGAAAAAACTTATCCTACAAAACCTGTTCCGCAGCAGCCACCTGAATACTTGAAACAAGAAATACTCAAATGGACGCAAATGCTTGTTGTTTTCGAACTCACTGTGACTATGTGACGTCATCAGTTCATAGCATAAGCAGTGACTTTTGCAAATCAGAGCCATCCTTCACGATGAACATTTGGGCCTTGTTGAGCCTCAAAATATTCAAAAAGGTCACCGGTATTAAGTGGAGTCCTCATAAAATTTCTTGAAAATGAAGGGTAATCCGTCATGATTCTGACTGCATATTTGGTCATACCACAGCCATAATTAGTACCGTCATTCGAACTTCCAGAAGCTAAAGGTCATCGGCAACTCTGCAAACACTGCACTTTACCGTTTACAAGCTAACCTTCGTGTCATGCTTACTTCTTGTACTTCACACCTTTTCTCTTGCGTTGAAGTTGCAATGTAGACCTTTTTCAATCGTTGTCTAATTGCTGTCCATTATTTTAATGTCTGCTTCCGACTGTCGGTGGAATATGTTGTTTGATCCTCTTTTTCTACTCCGAAATTGAGGATTCCGAGTGAGGGTTAAGCTTGTCATGCAGCAGGGTGCTTTCCAAAATGTATGCCCTATCCACTTACAGATCATTATCTTGATTTCTTCTTCCACTAGCATCTGATTTGTGCTATCCCACAGAAGTTGTTTCCGTTGTTGTCTGGCCAACGGATCTGAAGTATTTCGCGTAGACAACTGTTAATAAACACCAGTGTCTTTCAAATGATGGCTTTCGTGGTTCTCCAAGTCTCCGTTATATACACTGGGACTGTCGTGACGTTAATATTGAACATCCTGTCGGTGGTGTTTAAAGATAGGTTTTTGGAGTTCCAGATGCTGATGCTATACTTGTCGCCTTATCCAGAATTTGTTTTTATGTGTGCGATAGAGAAGCTAGATCTTCTGAGAAGACCAGATCGTGCAGCTGCAAACGAGTTGTTCACTGTATACCGTACCTCATTCAGATGTTGACATCTTCCTAATCGAGTCAGTCACTGGCAGAAAAGGGAAAGGGTGAGAGTAAGCAACCTTGCTTGACACCGGGTTTCACATGGAATGTGTCGATGAGCTGTTCTGTATTTGCTATCGTTTAGTGTAATCCATCTTCTGAAGGCCACGCTTATCACTTCAATTGTTGCTACTTCAAAGTTAGGTAGGTTCAGCAGAATTGATTTTTAACGTTCTCATTGTTATCTTTGGTTGGCACATTATACAAGACGATGTTCATGGTAATACCCTCTCTGTGTTTTGAAGGGTGCTTTGGCGATCATGGCTCCATAAGAGTTCCATCCTATCAGTGAATTTTGTGCTTATTTAAAAAGCATCTATGCAACGTTTTGTGTGCGTGTGTGGAGTATTGTATGTTTCATGACCGGAGTTGAACAGCATTTTTCCTGAAACTAGTCTTTTTTGACAAACGTGCGTTCGATGTGTTTCGCTGATTTGAAGGACCACCAGGTCGTATATTTTTATATATAACGGGGTATTGGCGCTGTGAATTGAGAAGAAACCCAGCTTGCATTGTGAGAAGTGATAACTCTTCTAAATAAGTAGATTCGAACTCTCAGAGCAGAGTTTAAATGGTCTGGATTATCTTTCCTCGCTATGGTATTTTTAGCGATTTGGTTTTCGCTAATCAAACGCCTATCTGCCCTTCCGTTACCTGAGTTTGGGACCGGCAGAAACCCTAGAAGAGCACCGTGCCGAGTTAATAATGATCGCGTCTGTGGTCATTGTAAGCAGATAGGAATTCAGATCTCACGTTCATTAGGCAAACTTATCAAATTATTCTGCTTTTCAATTACTCCAATAAATCTTTCTTTGGAACCTATCAGACAATCTAAGTAATTCAGTTAACTAGGAAATATGTCGTGATACGAACTCACCCTTAAATTTGCTTGCTTCATATAACCTTTGGTTATGGATGATAAACTGTTATTATTGCTGTCAGGTCAGAATAAAATGAGTAGCAAGATGAGAACAGCAAGAGTTTTATTCGTTACAATTTAAGTTTTATTCAAAAGCAATAAAAATAAAATGTACCAGTATGCTACTTAATAAGAGGAAACAAATCTCACAATTCATAGTTTGGTCTATAATATCAGATCGAGGCGCAATGCTGAAGATGTCATGCATATTCAGGAACCGAGAGCACTTTTACTCATATCAACTGTATGATCGAAGATTTCAAATCTAATGAAAACCTGTAGGTGTTCAGCGATGTATTTGGAAAGTCGATTTGTCTAGAAGTTTATGTTCTAAGCTAACTAAATAATAATCGCTAACTGAAGTAGATGCCTGGCCAAGTGCCTTCAGCTAAGATGTCCAGTCAAAAAAATTAGGTCAGCATCACTATCTAAGTCTTACGGAACTATACATTCCGGTGGTTTAGTTTTCGTCATTGTCCCTGCCAGTAGCCCTAAGTGATCCGATGCTACTGAGCACAGATGGGAGTTAAGTGAAGCCTCTTTCATTCCTTTCACAACCATAGAGACCATTCTCATCCTCAATACAGAAGTGTATACTTACAACTCGATTGTCAGTTTTAACCACACTAAACCTAAATACGGATTTGGTTATCATTTATGTAAAGAAATTCGAAAGCGGGATTATGCATATTTCATTACATTTCAATGAAACTAAGATGCAAGGTTAGGATGCACTTCGATGAAACCTTCTCTGTTTTAACCTGTCAGTCAAGCGGAGTAGATTCACCCGCATTATGTAAACCCCTAAAATTTTGGATTATGGGCGCACAACAAACCAAAGAGCGTCCGCGTCGTACAAATCAGCCGAAATCTGACCATGAATTACAAATAAATACATGTATGTTGCTTGGCTTTTAAGTGGTGCACCCAACGAATTCTTCTCTCTTCAATACTTGTTAACTTTTATAGGAGTACATGAAATTTCATAAACAATATTGTAATTACTTATTAAACTCTATAATAATTAGTCTTAATATTTTATTACTTCGACAAGCTTTTTTATGTTCATCTTGGTAGACTTATCCTTTGCTGTCAAAGGACGGACTACTGTTACAGTAATTTCTTACCTCAGCCGAACGAGATATGAAATCCCTTCTGTACAGTACAGCAAAATTAGGTCTGACTGATATGTATGAAATTACATGATATAATTTAAGCCACCAGGTTAGAGACCGAAATTACCGGTTAAGTGACTAAATACTAGTTTCAAATGACTCTTTTTATTGCCTGATAAGTTGCTGTTTTTCATCTTTATCAGTGAGTTAGTTGCTCGGGTGACTTATATGTGAGGTTCTCACGCGACGTCATTACCTTTATAACTTGCTTTTCGTCTAGCTCTAGAGTAAGTATATGCATGAAAGCAACACCCGAACCCAAAGGGTGTAAAGACTGAGACAGTTTTTTTAAAATCGTGGTCGGTCTGATTCAACTGTTCTACAGAAGTTACTTTGAAAAGTATCTTTGCTTTATATCCTGAAGTGCATCAGTTTCCGTCTTGATTTTAATTTTTTAGATGAATATAATTGGTTATTTTCCGTACGTCAGTAGTTATTTGGTCAAGAAACTAATTCATGACCAAAAATTAGGGTTTTGACTAATCAGAGATATTTTTTGCTCTGAAGAGGTCTGGACATTTAAAATTCTCAAGACATGTTGGAGTGAACCAAGAGAACGAGTAGTATTATTTTTAAGTCGTGAATCGTTATCGGCTACATAAGTAGAGTAGGCTAAGAATAGTTTAAACCAGTTAGTAGCGCACATGAGTTAAAAAGATCATTATGTAAATTATTTATTACTGAAGGCATTCATTTTTTCTTGTGCTTGTAACTGCATCCTGTCAATTTCATCTCATCTCGCCAATGTGGCACGTCAGCGTAGATCGATGAACATTTGTCGCAGACTCTACGTTGATGATAAGTAATTGATTGTTTCTGTGCTTCTGAAACCGTAACTATCTATGGCAATAATATAATACGCATTCTCTTCATGACTAACTCTCACTACCTCCCTACCACGAAATATGAACCGAGTGTTACGCAGACATTTCACCAGTACAACTAGAAGTGCTTCAACTCTCGTTGGACCAAAGCTGTACTTTGTTGCACTAACTCACATGGGATAACAACACGCTTCGTTCAAAATTTTTTTCTAGCCATAGCTTTGATAAACAATTGTGACTCTGAAACTTAACCACTTACAGAGTAGCGATCAGTTACTTGTTCAGAATTCTGATTCTTAATTCATTATCTTGATCAAATGTTTACTTAACTTTATCGTCCTTTAACTTCCAGCTAGCACTAGCCTTTATAATAGTGATTAGAAACAATAACTTTTAATGAATTAATTTTTTAAAATTTGATCTAAATTTTTCACATTTTGTACATGGTTTTTCCAGCTACATCTTGGATTCCAGATCACAACCCTACAACAAACTTCAAAGGCTCTTCTGTAGCACACATAGCCCACATAAATCAACCAAGTGACCAACTGCTGATAGCTTTGTTTGATTTTATCCCACCAACTACATTGGAAAATCAGTCTCAAATTAGGGTAGAGAAAGGTAAATTTTGTCATAACTTTATATATTTACTTTGTCACCATAACCTATGGTTAAATGACGTGCCTCAAAATCGTTTGCAATGGCACAGGTGTATGCATTATTTGCGTTATCCCGAATTCTAATCTAAACTCCTCATGACCATCTTTCTCGTCTCAAGTATATTTCACTGGATCATACTTCTTGAATCAAGTCAAGTCAACAGCATCGTAAAACTTCGTTCGTACGTACGTACATACATCAGTTCAAGTTGCCATACCACATTAGCACAGAGATGGAAATGTCACTTCAAATCCCATAGTAGTAGAGGTAGTAAACGTATTAGCAGCAGTCGGAAATTTTAGGGTTCAGCGATACTATTCAAGAATTAGAATCTAGTGAAATAAACTTACAAAGAAAAAGATAAAATGATGAATTCAGAAGGTTAGGATTTGAGAAAACAAAGAATGGGTGCACCTGCGCAACTGCAAACGGTTTTGAGCCATGTCAACCAGGGTCTCTAACCATCAATTATTATCATCTCGCGGATCCAAACCAGGTAGCCTACATCTACCAACATGACTAAATCCACTTGTCAGTGATTTCATGGATTTCTGCCATGTTTTGGTTTGGTTCCCCTAGGTTTTTTTCCAACCTATTTCTACACCGCAAAACATAGTTCGACGAGGCAGTCGGTGGTTAGTAAAGAATCTTAATGATAGTGCGCCGTAAGCTCTAACTCGACCTGTAGTGTTCGAGTAGAGAGGTTCTAGGAGGTTAATGTACTTGTTTGGTACACTTTTCAAAGGCAGATACTGACAGTGAACCTCATGATCCAGAGTCAAATGCCGCCTTAATGTCCAGGAAGACAACTATTTTCGGACGCCTAAATGTATATCTGTGTTCCAGGACCTGTCTTAGTGTGAAAGTGTGGTCTATACAGCTAGGTCTGAAACCAGCCTGATTTTCTGTAGTCTGCCTGTAGACCCTTCGGGGCTACTGCCGGTCCCAAGCCCAGAGAAAGGGGGAGGGTTGGAAATGGGGTAGGCGACCCGATCCCGGAAAAAAACTGACTTGCTAAAAAAACACCAACTTGAAAAATAATTCAAACCATATAAAATCTGCTCTAGGAGTTAGAAGGTCTTCATTTAGATGAATTATGACGTCTCGTGATGAAAGCCGAGCTCCTTCGAAAGTCATGAGACCGATTCCCTTCTGACAACCAGAACCGTTCCATGGTGTGGGCAGCAAGAAAAAAACATCCGCCCTCATACCCTTAAAAGCACACGAGACTAAATCGGTCAGAATCAAATCCTTTCTTCACCTTCTAGTAACTCTTATCTCTACGACCAACTCATCCTTCGATCGTTTGTCACCTCGCACCGCCATGTTGTTCCACTTAAATCAGTATCGAGATGAGTCGTTTACTGAATTAATCTCTAAGTAGTCGGGTATTTACCAGTTAAGAAACAGGAAAATTCAGGTGACGTCTCGAAAGTATTCGGGTGCTCAAATCTTCTTGAAATTGTTCGAGCCACCCTTCCAGGTATGACCGGAGATCGCTAAAGGTCCCCCTCATGATCCCTTCAAGTGATCTCATAAGCGTAAGGCTTGTTACTGCTGGTAGTTTACATAAGTTTCATATACTTATCAAGTTCAACCAACAGAGTAGAGTTCAGCATTAAAAAACTATTATTGGGAACTTACTGAAACTAAGTATCCTGACTGTAGCTGCTACCTTAGACGTGATGGTCGGGCTTACCTATCGTGATGACCCAACCAAGCTATATTGGATGCAGCGTACCAGGCAGTTTGATTAGAGAACGGTGAGACTAGAAGCAGCAGCTGAAGGCCTGAGGACCAAGTCGTATTGCTGACTGTAGGAAGGTGTGACAGCAGTAAGATATTTCCCTCGGACAACCAGCATCTGTAGCGATGCTGCCTTCTCACAAGGAAGGATGGGGTTGGAAAAAGTCGACTCTAAAAATGTCACACCTCACCTTATCTCATGGATTTCCGTCTCCGGCGGTAAGGCCTTTTGAAGAGCTTCCCATAAAAAGGCCGTGAATGATCGGTCAATTGTCATTTCAAATTACATATTAGTAGGGATAGTAGAAGTATTAGCTGTAAATAAAAAGATTAGGTTTCGGAAATATTCAAGAGGTATAATTCAGTGAAACGAATTTGAGAAGAGAAAGATATAGGTAATGAGGAATTCAGAATATTAGAATTTGAGAGAAGACAAAGAGTGGATGCATCTGTGCCATTAAAAACAGTTTTGAGCCATGTCATTAAAGGTTTCCAACCATCAGTTACTTTTGTCCACAACAGCTGACCACAACCATGTAGCCTACACCTACTTGCATGGCACAGTCAACTTGTCAGTGACTTCATGGATTTGTTCCATGTTTTGGTCTGGTCGCCCCTATCTAATTTCTAGGCTGTTGTTGACTGACTGACTGAAACCAAGTATATATTGATGTGATGTTTAGTTAAAGCAAACAATATCCTAACGTATTTTGTTACCTCATGTGCTCGATAAATCTCATCTGATTCAAAATATATGGTCGGGTGTCTGTGAACATTGTTTGTAGCTGTGATAATTCTACGATAATCTACTTAGCTCCATTAACTAAAATAAGCTTCCCATTTTTATTTGCAACTAATGATAACACTTATCTGCAACCCTCAGTCTGACTAGTTTTTCGTGCCTGAAAATTCTATCGTTGTCGTTTTAGTTTAGGCTCCACTCATTGTTCAAATGTTTTAGTGCATCTCGTTTCTTATATTTAGTACTTTGTTTCTTGATTTTTTAATTTAGGTGATCAATTACAGCTGTTTGGCTACAGTGCAGATGGTGATTGGTCAGATGTTGAATGTAAAAGAACTAATGAACGTGGTTGGATACCAACAAACTATACGGGTCGTATTCCTGCTCCTTCTAATGATCACGGTACTAATTTAAATACTGGATCAACCTCCGGGAGTTCACTCACTTTCCAACATACTAGCAGTCACGATGTTAGTTGTAATGGTAGTCAAGGAAGTTTAGCTGGAGTAGGATTAGAATCAGAAAAATGGTATCATGGTGCTATTCAACGAAGTTATGCAGAATATCTACTCAACAGTGGAATTACAGGAAGTTTTCTTATTCGAGAATCAGAAAGTCATCCAGGTCAGCTTACCATAAGTCTCCGTTATGAAGGACAGATATGGCATTATCGTATCCATCGTGATGATTCAAACCTGGTAAGCTTCCAAATATATATATATATATATATATATGCAGCAACCTGAAATAGTTTTCCAGTCTCGCACAATGTTTGAACGTTCCATGTACCTAAAATGGTTGCACTGGTTGTGAGGAGGGGCATCAGCCTTGTGACTTCAAAGGGAACTCGGCTTTCGTCACTAGACGTAATAATTCTACTTCCGACCCCCAGGTCAGATTGAGAATGGTTTGAATAATGTTTTCTGGCAAGCACTTTTTAACGATTTAGTTTTTTTGTGGGATGGGGTCGCCAACCCTGCTCTTTTATCCGGGCTTGGGACCCTCAGTAGCCCTAGAAAGGCTCCAGGTGAAGTTACTCTAGTTAAAGTAGCTAATTAAATGAACGTTTGTAACCAATTTTCATTATATGCCTACAATTTTTGGTCTTAATTATCATACTCCTATTTTCATTTTCCACTTAGTATTACGTCATTGAGTCCAACAAGTTTACTTCAGTCTCTGATCTTGTGCATCATCATGAGAGGCATTCCGATGGTTTGGCTTGTACATTATTGTATCCAGCACCTAAAAGAGATAGAACAAGTTCGGAGTTACGTATGGATCCTAGTTTCGATATACGTGAGATAGATCGAACTGAAATAGTTATGAAGCATAAATTAGGTGAGTGCGTATTTGGTCATAAACAACTACTGATAAATTATCATAAAACAAAATGATCATTTAACTTAAGTTTTGTTCATCTATTTTTTGATATATCAACGTTTTTTTTATTATATTTTATACAGTTTCATTACGTGAACATGTTTTCAGTCGTTAGTGTATGGCAGACTTAAACCTACGTATCATATCAAATTTCAGTAGATGTAACCATATTTTTAGCTGTCTTTCTTTCGTATAACTCCATTGACGATTAGCTATTCCTACGGATACTGCATTACTTCACTATTGTGGTTACATTGTATTTGTTCACCGAATTGTTATTTTTTCTTTCTTATTTGAAATGCAGAATAATCCATTGATATTAGTTTGAGTGAGGCACATTGCATTAAAACATGGCAATGTGTTATCAGTAGATAGATCATAGACAGGTAAAGATTTAGCAAACACATTGTGCCAATAGATTTTCATCTATGCATTATGTATTCTCTCCAAATTACGCTGCCCAAAGATTAGGCCTAACAGTCAAGTTTAATTGATTGGAGAGTGGGTAGTAACCTGCAAGTCGATTTACCTCATTCGTCATGATATTTTATCATGTATATTTTGTATTCATATTTCGTATATAAGTTTATTTCATCACAGGAAAAACTATTCATATAGTTAGTGGTTTTCTCTTTGTATTCTAATCATTCTAGAATCTATGTCGATTATACGGTCTCGTGAGTAGCCACCACTCGGGTACATTGTGTTATTGCGTTCATCTATCGATTAGCATTCTGTTAATAAATCTATTGTATACATCTAATTAATGTTAAATGATGAGTCATGATTTATTAAGTTCATAGTTGGTTGTTATGTAACTGTACATGTAATTTAGTTAATGATTATTTCAGTCATATTTCGCAGATGGTTTCTAATTCATGACAAAGGTATTTATAATTCATATTATTCCAACCATTTTGATTTTACCCATAAGGTTTGATTCATTTAATAAACAGTTGATATACATTCTATACTTCGTACTTATAGTCAAATCCAATAATCTTATCCTGTTGTGTTGTGTTAATTGGAATGAAAACTTAAATATCAAGCTTTTCTCTTATTTGATAGGCAGCAAGATTATTATATCTAAAATATGTGTAGCAATTAATATTCGTGATTAATTTTTCTGACATACTGATTATAGATGGTTCTCTCATTCAATCAATCAATCAACAGAAACGTTGCCATCTCACATTAGCACAGAGATGCAATTTCCAATTCAAATCCCATAGTAGTAGAGATAGTTCTCTCTCTCTCTTTCTCTCAAAATTACATCATTTTGGTATTTCAGTTTTCAAATAGCCGTAGTCGATAAGAAAGCTGGGTTATTGAATTACTAATTCGATACCAATATAATACATAAATATCTCTGTCTAAATCATGAGTATTAAGGCAATTATAGTCTGGGCTTCAAAATAGATCTTCATTAGTTTTCACTTTTTCTATTTATGTAAACGAAAACATATAGTAAAGCTTTTCTGAATGCTTTCAGTCACTTGATGTGTATTTGCTTTATAAAATGTCGAATCATTCCAACGTTAACCATGTTTGTATTTATGTACCTTTAGAATTTTTCATTTTATCAGCATCTAGCTATATATCGATAAATGTGATGGAATATTTTCCACTTAGGTATAATAGTTTACACCTTAAGGTTTTCATCAAAAACTAACTAATATGTGCTTGGATTATTGGGACTATTCATAATCTTATTTCAACTATACCTACCGATCCATCGAAATCGATCAAAATCCCGAGTTCTAATTATATAAAAAAATAATAACTAATCAGTAGTCGAAAAATCTCGTTTGTTTATTCAACTCTTTGCACAAATTTTATTCAATAAATAGTTTTGCGATTTCCTTTCTTTGTATTGACCTTTTCTTTGCTTTTTTTTCTTCTTTCATTTGATTTTTATTAATTATTTTTATTCGATTTATGAATTTATCGAATCATGCGTTTATGACCGTTTCCACTATTGATTTTTTATGGTCATTTTTACCTATTTTCATCATCATAGCATTCTGTTCCTTTTCTTTCATTTACAATAATTTTATTCATTATTACTGAATCTTTATGTGTGTACATTTATGGGATTTACTTATATTAATGTATACTTGTTTGCAAAATGTAATATTCATGATAAAAGTAATCTTATGTGTATAATTGACTATATATACGTACTACCGTGTGGTAAAATTTAAGTAGTAATAGTTCTGTCGTCACTTGTGCTCATTTAGTTTCAGTTTACGCATTCTAGAAGTGTTAGTGCATTCAATCATCTGACTGTTTGACACTTCATCCTTATCTACTCTGTTTACTTTGATGCATGTTGGTATTACTAGTGTCCACATTATCGAATACATGAATCTTAAGTTGTATCTTGCATTTTGGGTTATGAATATAAGGAATATATTTTTTACTAATGCACTTCGAATCTTTGTTATCATAGAGTTCTATGGAGATTGTTAAATTTTAAGCTTTGCATGAAAGACTGCCATTAGTTAGACAATCAGTGAAAACCCCGAAGCATTAAACAGTCGCTTTCTCTTAGTATGGGACTTCCCACTAGTTTGCACATTGACGACTCCACCAGGTATCGAAATTTGTCGTTGAGTCGTAATCTATGTATGCCAGATTATATTCTTTTCATTTTTGAGACATTTCGCTTCATTTATATTCTCTGTTGGATTTCTGAATAACTATCTAGAAAATAATGGGGACGTACTCGCGTATATCGATTTTTCTGTTTGACAGAGCAACTAGTTTGTCTAGTTTCTCTTTAAAGCCCCAATAAGATATAAAAAGTCTAAACAAAAGTAAAGTAAACATTAAAATGAAAGAGAGTAGTTTAATGGACAACAGTAGATCCTCTAATTATTCATTCGAGACAAGAAACGTATTCATATGCGTTGATACATTTGTATTTTGAGTTATATCTACATTTTAGTTCATATTTGAAATGTTGGTTGTCAGGTTATTTAACTACGGCTTTTTTGATTCATATATATACCTTTGATAGTGAGCCATCACTGCTGTCTCCGAAGCATTGCTCGTGTATCCTCGGACACCGAGTAAGCAATGCTGTTGTTAGGAAACGGGTACTAGGTAAGGATGGCAGATCAGTAGATAAAGTATTGAAACCTGATCATTTGAGGTGGTTGGGACATGTGTTACATATGCATAACCACCGACTACCCCTTCGAACTGTGTTTTACGATGTAGGAATAGGTTGGAAAAAAGTTAGGGGCGGCCAGACCAAAACATGGCAGAAATCCACGAAGTCAATGACAACTGGATTGAATCATGTTGTTAGGTTGGGGCCCGCGAGATGATAGTAATTGATAATTAGAGACCCTGAATGACATGGCTTAAAACCGTTTGCAAGGGCTCAGGTGCACTTATTCTTTGTGTTCCGTCAAATCCTAACCTGAAAACCTCATCACCTATATCTTTTTCTTTTTAAGTTTATTTCACTAGATTCTACTTCTTGAATGATATTCTCGAACTCTGATCGCTCCGATTACTGGTAATACTCCTACTACTTCTACTACTATGGGATTTGGATTGACAATTGCGTGGTATGGCAACTCGAACTGATGTATGTACGTACGAAGTTCTCCATTGTAACTGACTGACTGAAATTTTTAGCTGTTTTTCGTAAATCATTAGGTCAGTCAACAGTTGCTAAACTCATTCACTGGTTTGTGTATTTGGTTGTGTTAGAGCTGTTCATGATTCCACTAAGCTGTCGAAACAGTAGCTTGTTGAATTTCGAACGTTCAAACCAGTAAGCCATGACATTTTACTAAACTTTGACTATGTTCAAATGATCTACCTGTTTATCTTAATTGGTTTTTTATGAGTTTAAAATTATTTACTTCAGAAGTTATGTTCTATGAATCTTGATTCCTCCACAATAATATCTTGTATACTTAAAGTACCATATTTCTAAATTTTATGTACCAATGCAAAATTGCTTCCTAATTTCTTATTTCCTTTTCAACCCTGAAGTTTAGAATCAACAAGTTGAGAGTATCCTGCCTAGTTGGTCTTCTTTATAAAAACTATTTTCTTCATTTTAGATTACTTTTGTAATTCTATGAACTTTTTTATATTTCAGGATCCGGGCAGTACGGTGTGGTGTATGAGGCTCTATGGAAACCTTATAATGTATTAGTTGCAGTAAAAACACTGAAGGTACGAGTCTACTATTTGCAATGGCATTTTAACCAAATATTCTTCAGTACAATTTCCACTCGAATGACCCTTTAACTGTTGCATTGTTTACTCGATAGGTTAAGTAAATAATGCCTTATGTTTAAAGAAACCCGTTACTATTAAACTCATTTTGCTCTAAGCTACTGTTTGGTGAGCATTTTAGTAACATCTCTAATGCGTTGTTATTTTTACATCCCATAATTCAATGAAGCAAGTTGATTTTGTGTTGTTATTCATATTTTTCAGTCATACCTAAGTTCAGCTTAAGATCCACTTGAAATTCTATGCACACAAAGTTTGACTCGTGATAGTTTTTTACCTTTCTTTGGGATCGAAATGAGACATGATTGACTTGTGTTTTTTTATGAAACGATTACTTATAGTTATTATGTTTTGATGTTCAATATCGAGATCTGAAAGTGATAAGTTTTAACCCCTGAAAACCGGCTGTTTGAATGAGAAGACAGTAACAAATAAGTAATATGAACAAATACTCCTCTACATATATATTCACTTCCTTAGAAACTAAAGCCATATATGATTTTTTTCGTTTATCATTTAATAATGCTTTAATAAAGTAGTGACTATCTATTCCGTTGAGGCTTGCAAATGAAATCCTAAACCAGCGTCTGCGTTGCAAACGTTGCAAATAACTAGAAATCTCAAATTTGTTTTACGTGACCGATTGTCACACACAAATAACGTAATCCCATAAAATGTGGTACGTAGTAAAGTTAGTGTGTTGGTTAATAAGCATTTCCTAGCCAGTCTAATCTATGAAACCCATAATAGATGTTTTAACAGTTTCTTTTGCCTTGTTGCTGGTGGCGTACAGGAAAAGTCCAACTAGTCTTTAGATCCTTCCAGAAACTTCACGGATCACAGTCCAAATGCACTGGTGCGGCCGAGAGTGGGGAGAGTCTGCTCTCCCTCTACAAATGCTATCAGATGGCCATTCGTATATAACCACGGCCAGAAAACTCCTACTCACTGCATTTCCGTGCTAAACGTGTTGTTTAGAAATCGAACAAGACGAAAAGCGAATGTTCGACAGGACTTAAACCGAGTTAGTGGGTATGGAGAAACCACTTAGGAGAGTTGAAAACCATGATTACCAAATCAATGGTACAAATGGGTTCCAGGATACTGAAGCAACAAATGGAGTATGAACCAAATGTTGGTCACTTGCTACTATGAGACTGCATTCCCTGACATCGCTCCACTACCTTGTGAATTAAACTTATAAACCAAAAACTCGTGGAGTGTCTTACCTAAGAAGACTACTTATTTCGGTATGGATAAACGGATAATATCCCAGCCAACATGCAAATTCAGTGATGTGTATGGAGCATATATTTTTCGTTGCCCGTTTGTTCCAATGTCTATTCGATATTGCCTTCTCACAAGGAGGAAAAGGGTTAGAAACGGTCGACCCTAAAAATGTGTGACCTTACACCGGTGGTAAGGCATTTTGGAGAGCAGAGCTATCACATCAAAGACCTCCCATAAAAAGGCTATACTTGACCGGCCCCAAGCTCTTGTCCGTCGGGCTCTGCGGCCACGTGCCCAGATCGGCTAAACCGATGCTAATCCGTTTCTATTCACAGTGTGAGTAGCCAGGAAGTGACATCCGCCCTTACATCGGTCACAGCACATCTGACCGAATTAGTCATAATCAAATCCTTCTTACACCTCTTAATAACTCCCTTATCTCCACGATCAACCTTTGTTCCATTTCTTTGCCAGCCCTCGCCGCTGATGCAAACGTCTCGAGTTCACGAAACGAAAGCACTCTCTGAACTACATGTTGAAGTTTTCAATGTTCGGACCTTGTGACAAATCGAACAACATGCTTTCTTAAGTAGGGCTCTAGAATCTCGCGCCATCAATGTAACTGCGTCTCCGAAACGCGCATACTGGATCCGAGGAGAAAGTCACCGATGGTTAGAGACCTTGAATAACATGGCTCAAAAGCGTTTGCTATGGTGAAGATGCATCCACTCTTTGTCTTCACCTTTATCTTTGTCTTCTTACGTTTATTGCACTGGATTATAGTCGCATAATACCTTCGAAACCTAATCTTTTTGATTACCGCTAATATTTCACTACATCTATCACGATGTGATCTGAATAGACGATCTCTGTGCTAATGTTGTGGTATAGCAACCTGAACTGATTTGCGTACGTATGCAGTTTAGCGTTGTTGTTGACTGACAAGTTTCTAAAATCTGAATCATTCAAACGTGTTAATTCTTTATGTAATATGTAATACTACTTGCTTCCTGTTTTTCGCCCCCCCCCCACTTTTTAAAAATGAAAATATGGTAGATGAAACGTACTATTACGATCGATCCAGTTTGTTTTGGTGACTTATTTTTGAATAAGCACATAATATGTGTTTCCTAAAAATTACTTTTTCAGGAATGTGTCACCGTTTGTGATGAATTTTTAGAAGAGGCTCGTTTGATGAAAAGCCTAAGACATCCAAATCTTGTAACTTTGTTAGGTAAGTCAGTAAACTTTTTCTTGCAAGTTTCATTTTAGGCACTACAGTAGGAGTCTTCTTAGTCGTCTTTTCATCTTTGCAAATAATTGAAAACATTTAACTGATAATTTGTAGGTTACAAAACAGACTAACCTAAGTTAGTGACGATCATTGAAAACTGCAAAGTACTATTTCACTGTCACAAATCGTAATTTTGATACAGTCACTTTCAACATTTATTTGTTTACACAAGCATACTGCTAACAGTAACAAATGTTCTATCAGCTCCATATACTGTTAACTTGATACTGTTTGTAAGCTATTAGTCATTTTAATCATTTTAGTTATAAATGTACAGTTAACTCATTTTCTATGAATATTTACTATCAGATGCAATTAATATCAATTACGTAATTGTAATCTTTTTGTTTTTTAATTTTCCCTAAAGGTGCATGTACTCGGGAACCACCTTATTATATTGTTACCGAGTTTATGTGTAATGGCAATTTGTTAGATTATTTACGTACACATCCTAAGACCGAATTAACACCTTCAGTTTTATTGCATATGGCAACTCAAGTCGCTAGAGGTATGGCTTATTTGGAACAACACAATTTTATACATCGGTGAGTTTTGTTTGTTGTAGTAGTAGTAGTAGTTTGTTTGTTTAGTTCATGATTTTTTTCCCTAATTCTACTGTTTCTAATTGTAAACTGAATTTTACTGACTTTATATAATGGTGTATAAAAACTGAAATGAAATTGAACTGATCAACGGTAAATAATTTATGATCAATAATAATTGTTTAATTTTATTATTCTATATAGTTAGCCTTTGTGGTTATCAAATGATTAAATGATTTATTATATACAGTTTGATTCTTTATATTAAACCATACTATGACCTTTATACAAATATAACAACTTTAGTGAAGATTGACAATCAAACTACGGATTTATACATGAATATCAGTTTACTAATTTAGTATAGTTGTCATTTGTATTGTGTTAATATTTACTAGTAATGATATTGCTTCTAGTTTCCACTGATGAAATTTTCATGTTCAATCTATGTTAACCGATAATTTTAGAATATATAACTTCTATTCATTTATATTCTAATAATCGTTTCACAAATTCACTTGACTTATAACATAACCAATATCAATCAATGAAAGAAATTGTTATTTCGACTGTATAATTGTAAGTACAAATATTCGATGAATATTTGTATTACATTTTATGGGTAGCACCGTTCTGTGCTGCTATCCTGAGATCCACCTTGACAATTTCATCTTGCTGTGTTAATGAGATATAAGTACTTGAGCGGATATCATATATACACCAAGTTCCATTCTACGTATGACTGAATGACTATTTTGAACATCATAGGACAGTAAAAAAAAACGAAAGAAGGGATAAATTAAATTAAAATAATATTTCAGTGAATGCATATAAACAAGAATAATAAATATATATGTAACTGAAACCAATCTTTCCTCATATTACTTTACATTATTAATAAGCTGTCTAAAAAAGAACCTAACCTATCTAGTTGGAATCTTATGATTACAATTTTTTCTACTCCCGTCAAGGTACATGGTTGATATGCTTGACTGCTATTACGAGTTCACCTTACTTGGTAAATGGAGCAAAGAGCAATGACTCAGTGACACGATAGGCTATTCTAATTTGATGGTCCCAGGTCCCGGTAACAAAAGCAAGAAGTCTTGATAAGGAGTAGAGTATGTATTCTACAAGCACACAGAAAATACGAGGTTGCTAAGCACACAAATCAAGCTTATTTATACAATGATAAAAATGCCCTTGGGAGAGCCACAAAATAGCGTACTAAAAAATCTATCAACCAATAACAGTCAAGGATTTCCTAGTGGAAAGTGTAAGCTGTAGGTCAACTAAGCGTATCTCGGCACAAAAACATAGAAATTCAAAATTTCAGAATAAAATAACAAAATTAGAACCTTTGCCAAGTGAGTTCTGAGGATCTAACGTCCCCAACAATAAATAGTCAATCGTGATGATGTTGTAGATACACGTTGATTAGATGTCGGATATAAACACAGATATTACTTCTATTACTAACAATTTACATAAGATTGTATGTAGAAAGTAAGGAAAAGAACTTTTTGGATGATAGATTGTTTTCTTGTAGCGATCAACCTTTCAATGCAAACAACTTTTTGTCTTGCGAAACATCACCCTTTGTCATATTACCATTTTATAAGGATTCACTGTAATGTAAAATTTCGTTAATAAATATGTTTTTGACTGGATACAATAACTAGATAGATAAATATAAAGTTTTATGATTGATTATTCTGTGTTTGTGTGTTTTCCAGGAAGCTTATTTTAAACACACTTGGCTGATAGATGTGTGATGAAACTTAGATTACTTTAAACTTCAGTAGATCGATTGAACTTAAATTTAATTCAATGATGACTTAGTTTCCTAATTTAATGTTTATTTCATCCATGGACTTGTTATTATGTTATCTGTTGTGTGCTAACAAATCGTTTTTTTTCTATTACAATATTTTTATTCAATTTACAGTGATTTAGCAGCTCGCAATTGTTTAGTTGGCTCACAGCATACTATTAAAGTTGCAGATTTTGGTTTAGCTCGTTGTATAGAACGTGATCTTACTTATCGAGCTCATGAAGGCGCTAAATTTCCCATAAAATGGACAGCACCAGAAGGTTTAGTCTATAATTTATTTTCAACTAAATCAGATGTATGGGCATTTGGTATATTATTATGGGAAATTGCTACCTATGGGAAAACACCGTATCCAGGTGTCGAATTACAAGATGTTTATGTTTTATTAGAAAGAGGTACACGAATGCTTTGTCCTGAAGGTTGTCCTGAGCCAGTTTATGAGCTTATGTTACAATGTAAGTTCTGTTGATTGTCCTATTGATGAATTAGGCTATATTTCAAATTTATAAGTTGAGTAATTCTGTTTGCTTCTTTTATTTTAGTCACTTTTTGATATAGTGTATATATAAAGTATGTTAATCATTTCAATTTCTTTAATATTGGTACTAACAGAATTAAATATTTTCAGTCTGTTGATGGCTAACAGTATTTCTTACTTTGCTTATTTTTTACCGGTATGCCCTTCAAACTAAATTATTTTTTATGTAACTATGTGACCACCTAAATGCTAAGGTTGGAACGGACAACATCTCATATGAAGACATCATGGGACAACATGGATTGAGAGAGAGTGACGAAAACGGTAAGAGACTTGCAAACCTATCGCTGCACCATATTCCCAAAGCCACATGGATTTCACCCTGGTCACATCACATAGAACCAAATCGATTATATCTGCATCAATAAAATGTTCAGTAGGACCATGGAAGACGTGAGAATCAAGAGAGGAGCTGACATAGCCTCAGGTCACCACTTGCTGGTTACCAAAATGAAATTGAAACTCAGGAAACACTGGAAAACGGAGCAGACTACATCACAAAAGTTTAATTCGGCCTTTCTTCGGGATACCGTATAAACTCAACGAATTCAAGTTAACCCTCAGCAATAACTTCCGGGCCTTGCTAAATCTACTCAATGGAGAGGAAACAACCTTGGAGAATAATTGGAAAGGGGTCAAGGAGGCAATCACTTCAACATGTCAGGAGGTTTTGGGCCACTGGAAGTACCACTGTACTTCCAGTACTCTTGAAAAAATTGAAGAAAGGAGGAACAACAAGGCAGCAACTAGCATCAACTGAACAAGAGCAGAGAAAACCAAGGCACAAGGTGGGAAGTGAAGAGAAGCATCAAAACCGACAAACGAAAATTTGTGGACGTTCTTACAATGATGGCGAAAAAGTCTTCAAGAGAAGGAAGCTTGAGACAATTGTATGACTTAACAAAGAAGCTCGCCGGAAACTATCGTAAACCAGAAAGACTAGTGAAAAGTAAGGAAGGCAAAGTAGTCAACAACATTGAAGAACAGCGGAACAGGTGAGTAGAGCACTTTAAGGAACTCTTGAATCGACCTGCCCCACTGAACCCACTGGACATCGAAACAACGCCGATGGACCTCCCGATCAATGTTGGCGTACCAACAATTGAAGAGGTTTGTATGGCCATCAGACAAATCAAGAGCGACAAAGCATCAGGATCAGGCAACATTCCAGCAGAGGTACTGAAAACAGACGTGGCAGTAACTGCAAAGATACTCCACATCCACTTCACCAAGATTTGGGATGAAGAACAAGCACCAACGATTGGAAGGAAGGATACCTGACCAAAATACCAAAGTAAAGCGATCTCAGCAAGTGTGAGAACTATAGAGGCATCACTGTTCTCTCAGTACCAGGCAAAGGGTGTTGCTAAACAAAATGAAGGACTTCATAGACACCCAACTTCGAGATCAACAGGCTGGATTTCGTAAGTATCTATTGTGTACTGAACAAATTGCAACATTACGGATCATTGTGGAGCAATCAGTTGAATGGAACTCACCAATCTACATCAACTTTATTGATTAAAAGTAAGCATTCGATAGTGTGGACAGTACAACACTATGGAGGCTCCTTCAACACTACGGTGTGCCTGAGAAGGTAGTCAACATCATACGGAAGGAAAGGAGGACGATCAAAGGATATATTTTACGCTGAGAAATGGAGACGGACATGAGAATGAACAAAAATTGGATAGGACTAGGAAGTACGACGCAAGACAGAGTAAGTTGGAGAATGCTCGTTGGTGGCCTTTGCTACATTGAGGGTAAAAGGCGTAAGTAAGTATGTGACTACAGGTAGGATAACTTTTAACAGACATTTTGCGAACGTACCTTTTCATAACGTAACCGATTTGCTATCAGTTTACTGTCATTGTATAGACGATTTTTTCGTGTCACTTATAAATTAAACGATAAAAATAATGTACGTTAAAAATCCAGTAGTGCATAGTCGTTATGCACTTATCTAATGAAGAGTTCGAAGTTCTGATTCCAATGCGTTGCTCAGTGTGATCATTGCCTATAGAATCCATTGTAACAGGTAATCAAGAAACATTCGAAAAATATTTTCAAAAAGTGAACAGCTTAGAAAAAATTAATCAGTCAATACATGAAGAAAAGAAAGTCGTTTATAACTTCTAAAGAATGCCTTAATGCAGTGCACAGCTAAGTTAATAACAAATGAGCTTTGTATTTGTATCCGTCTCCATTTCAAATAGATGAATATTACCACTAGCCACCATAAAAATACCGCTAACAATTAAACACATAAGATTGTATCTATAAAGAATAATGATTATTTATTTATGTCTAATAACTAATGATTATCGTTGACAGTTGGTCTATTTCAACATCTATGAATATGTTAAATAGACTCATGTATATTTACTAGGACAATACTAATAGGTTAAATCTGACAATGGATATGTGTCTACTGTTTACTGTCGGTTGAAAATAACAATTTATTGATCCCTCAACTGAATATAATTTCTTTCTTGCATTGAATGATTCATATGTCTGAGGAATTTCACATTTGTATTATTATTCTTATTAATATTATAATAATTATTTGAACACATAACAACTATTAGCCTTGTTTTTTTGTTTCACATTTTTATTCATCATGACTTTGTCTTCTAATCATTACTTTCGTCTTTATTTTCCCTGTTCCTATGTTCTCTTTATCTAAGAGAAGAGAAAAGAAGAGAAGAGGAATATTATGTTTATCTTTTAACCATTACTACTAGTATTGTTTCTTTGTTATTTGAAGAAAAAAAACAAGCAAATGTTATATCGAAATGTGTGTAGTTTATTCATAGTTCTTCTTATGCTCTCTATCTCTCCTTCTGCTATTTAACCAGCCTATCAGCTTTTCTCATGCTATTCGTTATCTCTGTCTTTTTCTAAATGTATTTCGTTCAGTTTTTTTTTTGAATTAATGCATTGATGTAATCATTCATTTACCTACATCTTACTTTTAATTGCACTAGGTTAATTCTGTTCAAAAAAATGTTTTATTTATTTAAATTTATTTAAACACAAACACGAATACAAAGGGGTGCCATACAAATCAGTGAATTTGTATATGGGCTACGATACTATTGGTTTATCCAGACCGAAAGCCACTCCTCGAGTTTTTGGTTTATAAGTCTAACTCTCAAGGTGGTGGAGCGACGTCAGGGGATGCAGTCTCATAGTAGCAAGTGACCAACATTTGGTTCATACTCCATTTGTTGCTTCAGGATCCTGGAACCCATTTGTACCATTGATTTGGTAATCATGGTTTTCAACTCTCCTAAGTGGTTTCTCCATACCCACTAACTCGGTTTAAGTCCTGTCGAACATTCGCTTTTCGTCTTGTTCAATTTTTAAACAACACGTTTAGCACGGAAATGCAGTGAGTAGGAGTTTTCTGGCCATGGTTATTTACGGATGGCCATCTGATAGCATTTGAAGAAGGAGAGCAGTCTCTCCCCACTCTCGGCCGCATCAAGACATTTGGGTGCAAATGTGTATCAAACCTCTCCTACTATTTTCACTTGATTAATCTATAGTTTGTTAACTTCTTAACCCCTGCACACTGATCTTATCTGCCAGTTACAGTGTGACTGTTACTAGTTAGGGATAACTCCTTGGTTAATACTTTCAATCTTAGTAAGTTACAATTTCAAACCCGTATCAATTTCTTTGATCCAGACACCTTAATCTAGTGTAGTTGAGTTTTACATAAGCAGATTGTCAGATTACACAAACTTGGATATCATACCACTTAAGAATAAAATATAAAAGTCTTACGAAATAACTGTATGAATTTCTCTCTTTTTGAATCGTGTTCATTTTGTTTCAAAATTTATTTGTTCGTTTTGATAATAGACATTAAACTTATTACAAATATGTTTGTTAAGTATGGATGTACTACACTATCTTTGTAGAATGAAAATCTAAATCTCTAGATTTTCTGAGATTGCTGATGTTGAGCAGACGATAATATATTTACTGACAGTTGAAGGACTTGTCAACTTTTAACCTCATTATATTACAATCTGTGACGTAATTTCTGTTTAATGAACAGACAAATGTCTTTAACTATCTGTTAGATAAGAAAACTTAGCTTCAATCGTATTGTTGTCTGATTAATCTATTCAATGCTCACTACTTAATCCATGGAAGGTATTCAGACAAAATGCCTTGTAAATACGCATACTTAAGTAATTATAACTTATCTGACCTGAAATAATACAGAGCTTACATTAGAATTAATCAATCACTGAATGGTAATCAATGTCATGTTTGTTTTGCTTGAATAACTCAATAGACGGCCCAACTAAAACATGGCAGAAATCCATGAAACCACTGACAAGTGGACTGAGTCATGTTGGCAGATGTAGGCTACCTGGTTGGGGTCCGCGAGACGAAAGTCACCGATGGTTAGAGACCTTGAACGACATGGCTGAAAACCGTTTGCAATGGTGCAGGTGCATCCACTCTTTGTGTCCTCTCAAATTCTAACCTTCTGAATTCCTCATCATCATCATCATCTTCTTTCTAAAATTATCTCAGTGAATTATACTTCTTGAATAACATCTTCGAACCTTGATCTCTATTACTGCTAATACTTCTACTATCGCTATCACTATGTGATTTGAACTGACAGTTGCGTCTCTGTGCTAATGCGTTATGGCAACCTGAACTGATGTATTTACGCACGAAGTTCTGTGTTGTATCTGTCTGTCCGTCTGTCTGAATAACTCAATGGTAACATGTCTGACTAAAACTAGGCAAACCGGACTCAAAAGTAGTAATAGTTGTCGCAAGATTGCAAATATGTCATACTGATATGCTCCAACTAACATGAAATAAAGTTTCAGAATTTCTTATTAACTGCCTTGAATCATCTGACAGAATTTTAGTTAGGTTATCACAAATTATAATTCTATGATAATTCGGATCATAATAATTATTATTATTATCGTTATTTCAACTCGCATACATTTTCATTTTTTTTTAAAAATATTCTTAATTATTTTCTCTATCACTATGATAATAATAATGATATCATGTGTCTCAAGCTGGGTTGCTGCTTATTTTTCTTGAATAAGAGTTCATTATTTCTCATTATTATTGTTTCGTCATACATAAAATATTGTAAAAATTAAATTAATCATTTGTTGCTTTTAGTATTTATAATAAACATACCATACAAGATTTTTATTATTTATATTTACTTTTTTTTTCTTTACACAACAATGTTAGTTTATTTTATAGAATAAGTTGTTTTATTCCGTTTACATTTTATATCGATTAAAACTAAATGTAGAGTACATTTAATGCATAAATCACTTATTACAAACACATTTCTTTTCTCTTCAAATCGAGATTATTTGAACTGATAAACATTTCATATTACTGAATATTTGTATATCGTTTTTTCGTTCTTGATTTCATTCATATACATTGTCTGATTCTTCATATTGATGTTTAACATTGTGATTGACCAGTCTCTCTTTTTTAAGCATATATACATCCTGTGCAAATTTCTTTCATCTACTGTATTTTCTACTCTTTGAATAGTTAAACTGTTTTTTTTTGTTTTTGTTCTTTCATAGGTTGGCAATGGCTTCCAGAACAACGTCCACCATTTTCTGATATATTAAATCAATTAGAATCAATGTCAACTAATTCTACAATTGATGAACAAATCAGTTCTGATGTAACTTCTAATTTATCATCATCATTATTAATTAATAATGAAATGAAATTGTTTAATTCAAGTGAATCAAATAGATTCATTAAACGTACACCTAATCATCCATTACCTCGTCCACCATTACCGCCTAGACCACCACCGCCAAGACGTAGTACCAGTTGTGATTATTTAATTGAAGAAAATGATGATAATCAATCTGATGTAATTAAAGGTTAGTTAGACTTTTGTTCATATTGCATACTCTTTGAGGTGATTTCTTGATTTGATTGGGTATAAAGCACTCCAAATTACTTCAGTGTGTGCTTAGTTGAGTAGTATCTACCATTAGCCATATCATTAGAAATATTGATCTAAAACAAATTACAGGAATCCATATTTGGCTAAATAAGTTCCTATTTCTGTTTGCATTGTCATTATTCTTGTGCGAGTGAGATTTTCAGATGAAGTGATCGTAATTCGGCACTGACGCTTGAGTATTTTTTTGTACCCGAGTTCTATGTGTGTATGGGGATACTTGTTAGTGTTTAGTCCTTTGACTTTTTATTCCTACTGAGTTCTTAAAGTTATCCTCATTTGTTTCTTCAAACTGTTTCTCCTCATTTTCTCATTAATATTGTTATACTCGTCAATGGATATACTTGAAACTATTACTAGTTCACCCTAGTCGGTAAACAAGAGCGAAGACAAATAATCCAGTGACACGATAGGCTTCTCTAATCCGAGCGTCCCAAGGCCCTGCTAACGATATCAAAAAGTCTTGATATGGCGTAGAAAGTGTATTCTACAAGCACTCAGAGGTCTTGTACAGAAGAAGAAGAGGAGCATAAAACTTATCAGACAATGCATATTTATACAGTTAGGTCGACCGTGAATACTAACCAATGGTAAAGAACATCTAAAAGTATGTGAACTTGATGGTTTAGGACGACCTTGAAATATTGACCAATGGAATTTGACGTACAAAATAATTTCTTTAGGATATTTGATGAACATCCTAACACCTCCCTCTGGAAAAATTAAAGCGACCCAACCGAGGGTTTACTTGCATCTTGACTGTTGTTCTCCGCTGTCTGAGAGGATGTTTTTTGGAACGGAGATCAGCTTGTCGTTGAGCTTTGACATGAAGATGTAGGACTAGTCTTTGGGTACTTCTGGAGCGGGTTGGCTTCCTCTTATATGCTTCAGGATGATGTAGTTGCGATACCAGGATGCGTACGGTATTAACGAGACATCTGCTAATGTCATCTGGTCGAACCAATCTAAACCGAGTAAATTTAGGTCGGCTCTCGGATTAAGCTGAAGTGAGGTGGACTGGGTGTAGCAGGGGGCACATCTACTCTGGTTAGTTGACAGTTGCACTACATGAACGTCAGATTGATTTGATCCGCAGCTCTGAACCATAGTCTTGTCACTATGCAGCTTGCTATCTATCAACTTCTTCATTAGTTCAACTGCTGATGTAAATATTGTTGTCTTTTTTTTCGTCTATTGTTTCTCCACTTGTTTTGTCGTTAGAAAGTGTGACAACAACATTTTTGTAGAGTTCGTAAATGATGATATGCTTGGTCAGTAATTGCATCCGTGTGCATATGAAATAATAAATTTTCCTAAATTATCGGTTTCACTGGAACTTAATCATTTCTTCTGAAGTTTTTGAAATTGTGATATAATTATCAGGTTTTTAAAAGTTTTTTTCTCTTTTTGACAAATATGTTAAGTATTATTTATCATAGATATTTTGTAATTGTTTTGATTGCATTCAGCTTTAATTAAGTGAAATAGTTACTAATCTGTCATAGTTTGCAAACACTAAGTCTAATTATTTACAAAAAGTGTAAGTAATATCTTTTAGTATAGAAACGAGTAATTGAACTATTAAATTTTTTGATTCCTTATAAATTTCTTGTTCTGTGCTATCTAACAGACATTGTAGAACAAGTGGTAATTTCATCATACACTTCTATAAAAGTCCTCATATAAAATTTTCTTAGTTCTTCAACTGTGATATTAGTTAGTGAAATCTGACTTCAAGTTGCTAAACTATCAGTTAATAAAATAGTTCCTTAGTTCTTCAAACGCTTAAATTCTAATTACTTGAGTTATTGTTAGTTTAAATTCTGTTCAATTAATTTTGTTTTAACTAGCCGGATAATAAGTTTTTCATAGACGTCTATTTAATTAGAAAGTTTTATCATGAATCCATTAATTTATATTTTCAATTAGAGTTATGGAGATTAGTGTTTTTGCACATTTGAAATCATTGATCATTGTTAGATTACCATTAGAAACCTGGAAGCAATGACCGGCCGTTTCGTCCTGGTGTGGGACGCATCGATAGTACGCACCCATGACTCCTGCACCTCGCAGGATTCGAACCCGGGACCTTCGGTCTTGTGCCCGAACGCCTAACCTCTGGACCACTGAACCGGCATCCAGTAATGTTAATGTCTAACTTTGATTGATCTAAGGATTTCGCGCGACCTCACCCATTTGTCTTTGGTAGTTACTGCCTACAACTGACAGGGTTGAACTCCACTGGTCACGTCTTTTCACTAGAACTCCAAGAATTTCCCCGCGAAGCTAGCCACATAAATCGATCCTATTTTTTTCCCATATATTTATAACTTCGATATTCTGATTATTATATCATCATTCCATCTTATGTTCTATCCTTTTTCAGAGGATTGTAAATCTGATTTAGGCAGTGATGTGCCAATAAATGCTAGAAATATTAATAATACTAATCAAAAATCTCATGGAAATATATTTACAAAAAGTTTTAAAAATTCCCTTTCAAAACAATTACATATTGATGATTTAAGTACTGATGAGTTTGGTACTGCTGAAAAAAATCCACCATTTACTAATTCCGGATCTCTCGGGCGTAAAAGAACTGCACCACGACCACCGAGACGTACTACACCAGTTAAACCTTTAAATTTCCCTGCCGATTTGAATTCATTAGAAGATGATAATACCAATATCACTGGTTGTATTCGATCAAATTCATTTTGGGATGAATTCGATCATGCACCACTTCCACCACCACCTCCACCAATCCACCTTGATCCTAGTCACGATCAACAAATGCATCAATCTCGATCACAACAACAACAACACCATCCTCGTCTAGCACCACAGTCTAATAATAATAATAATGGTTCATTAGTAAATCACTCAAATTCAACACCATTTTCAATGCCATCAGTTATGAGTAGCTCTGGTATATAAATTATTTTATGAATTTACTAATTATTGTTTATGCTATAAGTTTTAATGTTTATTATTCTATGTGATGAGTATTATTGTTGTTTTTAAACAACAAACCTTGATGAAATTAAGTTTGAGCTTATGTAGTCAATCTGTAGAGATGTTTCTGAATTTACATGTTAGGATTTTCGGTGTATTTGGGAATATGAACTTTTGAATGATAGTTTTGTGATTTAGCTCGAAACTCATGCATTTTTGATCTGATTTCATGTAACTGTTTGAGCTATTTTGAATGCCCGAAATAGAATGAAACTGCTGTCAGACATCGGTTATTCATATGCATAACCTTAACATTACCAACTCAATAGTTCTACTCCAAGCATTCAGTACCTCAGTAGCACTAAAATACTTGGACCATGCTTATTTCATCAACTCTCATCGCAAATATTTCATTGCCTCTAATTAGCACAAAATAAATAACTTAACAGCGCAATCGTCTTTCCATACTTATACAAATATCTATCCCACTTCACCCAGTAGGTTACATTATATAAAGCTTATTGAAATTCGCTTATCAGTCACTCATATATGTTGATGCGATTTCCAGGGTAATTAAATTCGTTATAGCGTGTAACTTTACTTCCTATGGTCAAACCAGTTTTAATATAGTTGTATTTTAGTGTAGAGAAACATATTCAATACTTCTTAAAGTTACATTCAAGACGTTAAGAACACTGTATTTCGTTAGTGTTTTCATTGGCTGAGCTTAATTGTTGCTCTTATTTTGAAATGGATAGGAGATTTTATGATTTTCTTTTTTTTGAAAAAATGCAACATTAGAATTATATGGTAGCAGAACATACGGAGAGTCAGTCAGCCAGTCAGTCAGTTACAACGTAGAACTTCGTACGTAAGTACATCAGTTCAGGTTGCGATACTGTGGTGCTGTGGTGCGAACTACTTATAAGTAGTATATAGCGTGAGTGTCAACGTAAAGTCTGGTAGCATAATATGGGGGGAAGATCAAAAAAGGAAGAGTCAGAAAACAATGGAATTTGTATGAAACGCATGAAGAGTGACAATGGATAGATGTTTGGCAACAGGAACAGTCCAGTTCCATAGCATGAACTGATCTTTTGCAAATGAACGATTTACGATATGGTTTTCCGATTTTACTGAGTAACTCTGTAATTTCCGTTAAATACAATTCGGTTGCCTCCACCTGTGTTCTCATTCACTACATTTGGTGTCGCTGCCCACGCAAAGGATGGAGATTCCATGGCTGAAGGAGTTTGAAGAAGGGGCTGTGCGGGGCTTCCTGAAGGTGTTTGAGGCCGTGGCGGAGCTGGTGGGGGTGAAGGAACCGAAGGCGAAGCTGGTGGTGCTGGGGACGCTGCTGAGAGGAAGGGCGAAGGCCGTATATGACGGCTTGGACGGTGCTGGCGGGAAGACGCCATGGGAGGCGGTCGTTGAGCGGCTGATGACCGAGTTCGACAGCCCGGTGGACAGGGAGGAGGCGTTGCGGAAGTTCCGGTTGGCGAGGCTGTCGGCTGATGGTGACCCGCTGGTGCTCGCTGTGGAACTCAAAAGGTTGCTGCGTCGTGCGTTGCCGAATATCGATGAGGAGTCGGAGGCACAATTGTTGGCGTCGCAATTTATTGAGAGTGTGCCTGCCGCTGTGTCCCAGCAGCTGAGATTAGTAAATGCAGCACAACCTATGGACATCGGTGAACTGGCGAAGGTGACTCGTCAGCTGATGACACGAACAGTAGCTCCGGTCGGGTGCGAAAAGCAGGAGATAAATACTTTCGAGAAGAAGATTGAGGAGTTAGAGCGTGAGATCGCAGCATTACGAGTAAATCATAAAAGGAACGATAAATGTTACGCTTGTGGAGAGGCAGGACATTGGAAGATAAACTGTCCAAGAAGACGACGACGACGATATTTTAAACATTAAAACGTGTTTTCTTTCCACCCTAGGAATCGGGATGTCCTTGCACTAGTGGATAGAGGGGCAATTTATGCCAGAGTGTACATAAATGAACAGGAGTTAGTGTGTTTGATTGATACAGGGGCAGCTATATCGTTAATAAGCAAAGAGCAATGTAAGACAATTAAACCATGTACATTAGCTGTCCACACCATAGGAGGGCATATGCTAGAGGTGTTGGGGGTATCTAACAGTATTGTAAAAATGAGTGGAGCTGAGATAAATTTTCCGTTCGTGGTAACCACAAGCTTATCGAGACCGATATTAGGAGCAGATTTCCTAAGAGAGGTAAAAGCAATAATTGACTTGAGAAGCGGGAAAATGGTCACAAAGTACGGTTCATTGCCAATACATGAAAGTAGCGAAGTGGCTGAAATAAGGATGGCAGCGGACGTCTCGACCAAGAAACCTAACGTTAACGAGTTATGCGCAAAGTATGCGAAACTGTTCACTGGAGATGGGGAGCCGTATGGATTTTGTGACAAAGTAAAGCATGAAATTCCTATAAAGAACGACCGAGTAAATATATTTACAACACGTCGTGTCCCAGTGCATTTAGAGGCCGAGGTAAATCGACAGGTCCAGGAAATGTTGAAGGAAGGGATAATTGAGGAAGCAGACAGCCCGTATAGCTCACCGGTACTCTTGGTAAAGAAACCCAATGGAAAGTATAGATTTTGCGTCGACTTTAGAGAACTGAATAATATAACAGACCTGAAACCGTGCGCAATGCCAACAGTAGTAGAAACATTAGATCGATTACAGAATGCCACGGTGTTTACAGTGCTGGATTTACGGTCAGGTTATTGGCAACTACCTATAAAAGATAGCGATCGCAAAAAGACAGCATTTACTATACGGGATAAACAGTATCAATTTAAAAGAATGCCGTTCGGGTTGGCTGGTGCACCGTTCACGTTCAGAAGATTGATGACGCTGCTGCTTAAGAATCTAGATAATGTTGAGGTATATGGCGACGATGTAGTTGTATACAGCCTGACGGAAACAGATCACGTCAAGCATGTGGAAGCGGTCTTAAAGCGAATTGACGAATTTGGGCTTCGAATTAATAAGGAAAAGTCGCAGATAGCGAAAAACAGCGTCATATTGTTGGGACATAAAGTGGGAAACGGAGAAATAAAGCCATTACCAGAGAAAATTCTTACCATAAAAAATATTGCAGTACCTAATTCGAAAAGGAAGTTGAGACAGTTCCTGGGAAGAGCGGCGTTCTATAGTCGGTTTGTCAAGAATTTCAACGAAATAGCAGCGCCCTTATATAAGTTGCTGAGCAACGCCAAGTTTACATGGACTGAGGCTGCCGAACAAACGTTCAACCGAATCAAAAACATGCTAGACGATCGTCAGATGACGCTGCGACTGCCTGAACCCGGTAAACTGTTTACAGTGGCCACAGATGCAAGTGATCATGGTATAGGTGCGGTATTGAGTCAGGCTGATAGAGTGGTGGAATACGCAAGTCGCGTTCTCACACCCGCCGAACAGAAGTATTCAACGATCGAGAAGGAATGCCTAGCAATCGTGTGGGCAGTAGAGAAATGGAGACCGTACCTTTTAGGTAGACGATTTCACATCGAGACGGATCATAAGCCCCTACAATGGTTGAAAACAGCAAAAGACCCTCGGGGGAAGTTGGCTCGATGGATGCTACGTCTGCAGGAGTATGATTTCAGCATCGGGCATGTGCCAGGGGAGGAAAATGTAATGGCAGATTATTTGTCAAGACCGGACACCGAAGCCGAACTTCCAGAGATAGCGTGTGCAGTTAACGGCCTAGAGGGAGACCCCCTAGAACTCGTCCGACATCAGAAAGCCGACCCTAACCTTCGGGAGGTAATCAGAGTGATAAAAGAGGGAGAAGATGTTGACAAGAGTAGAACAGATAAAGAATTAACAGTGTTGCTGAGGCAGAAGGAGAGACTGAGAGTGAACGGATACGGAGCCTTGACCTGGCGGGATGATGACGAGAATTGGGTAGCAATAATCCCAAAAGATCTGCGCCAGGAGATGATTCGTGAATGTCACCAGGTAGCGCATACAGGTATTGCACGGACAACTGATTTGCTGCGACAAAGTGCGTACTGGCCAGGTATGAGAGACGATGTTGCACGATATGTATTAGCGTGCCAGCGATGTCAACTAATGAAAGGAGATCGATGCATACGACCGCCATTGCAGTCAATTCCAGTAACAGCAGTTGGTGATTTGTGGTCAGTAGATGTTATGGGACCGTTCCCGCAGACGACAAGTGGTAACCAGTACCTGCTGGTGATGACTGAGCATGCCACACGATGGGTAAATGCCGTGCCGATGGCGGACCAACGTGCAAGGACGGTGACGGAAGCGGTAATGCGGCACATTGTGGCGGACCATGGGATACCAAAGATAATATTAACCGATCAAGGTCCCTGTTTCGAGAGTGATGAGTTCAAGTCCCGTCTAAAGCAGTTAGGTATCAAGAGAGTACGAACAACGCCGTATCATCCACAGACGAATGGGTTAACGGAAAGGAATAACCGAACGCTAAAGGAATGGCTAGCATCTAAAGGGGGTGACTGGGAGAAAGAATTACCATTAATCTTGCTGGCACATCGTGCCTCGGCACAGGGAACAACCAGGAAGTCACCGTTCCAGCTGATGTACGGCAGACGGCCGAGACTACCAACGCATGATAAAACCTGGCCGCAACAACAGAGATGGAATACAACAAGATTGAGAACAGAGCGGAGACAAGCAATCAGGAATGTGAGAGAGAAACAAACATCAGACATGGAGAAGTCAGAACAGGAGAGAAAGAACTGGAGATTGTTTGAAGTGGGAGATCAGGTGAAGTGTAGAGAACGGAAATATACCACAGGAAGAGGGCCAGGGTCAGGTAAGCTGATCCCGAAGTGGGAGGGACCGTACGTAGTAACCGAGAGGCGCGGCGCAGTGTATACAATCCAGAAAGGAAACAAACAGAAACGCGTGAATGCCAGTGAACTCCAAAGGTGGTTCCAAGTGCGCCAAGAGGGCGAGCCACAAACACTGATGAAGAAGACGGCTGTACGGAGATCAGAAAGACTGCGACGACAGCTTATTAAAAGGGGGGACGAGTGTGGTGCTGTGGTGCGAACTACTTATAAGTAGTATATAGCGTGAGTGTCAACGTAAAGTCTGGTAGCATAATATGGGGGGAAGATCAAGAAAGGAAGAGTCAGAAAACAATAGAATTTGTATGAAACGCATGAAGAGTGACAATGGATTGATGTTTGGCAACAGGAACAGTCCAGTTCCATAAGATGAACTGATCATTTGCAAATGAACGATTTACGATATGGTTTTCCGATTTTACTGAGTAACTCTGTAATTTCCGTTAAATACAATTCGGTTGCCTCCACCTGTGTTCTCATTCACTACAG